ATGGACTTACCTCCATAACAGCAATGGATAATGGAATTATTTATTTATTTGTTGCCTCTACCCTGTAGGGTCATTGGCAACACCTTTAAATTACACTCTGTTGCAGAATTTTATCACTTTTAAAAATTTTAAAGTTTTTTAACGGCACTTTCGCTTTCTTGTAGATTTTCTTTAAGATTCTGTGCCATGTCCAATTTTTTTGCTTGTAGTTTCAAATATAGGAGAGTCTTGTATAATATACTTTACCCATGTCCTTTGGACATTGCAGCTCTCGCAGGTCGGAGGATCAAGTCCTCTTACTAGGTAGGAGTGCGAGAACTCACTATGGCCAATTCGTAATCTGCAGAGAACTGTCTCTTCTTTTCTAGTGGATCGGTGAGAGGTTTCCCATTTTAAACAGTGGCTTTAATTTCGATTTTTTTTTTGTTCCCACTTGTTTTGCCACATGTTCCACACATTCTACTTAAATTTTTTAACGTAATCCTGTTCTGGCATTCTGGCATGTTGGCTGCTTGATCGGATAGTTCATTACCGGTGATCCCGCAATGCGAAGGAACCCAAATGAACACTACTTCTTTGCCCTTCTCCCTTAGTAGCCACCAAACGTTTCTTACATCTTTTGCGAGAGTGGTTTTGTTCAATGTTCAATGGCTAGTTATGAACTCATAGAGTCTATCACAACTGCCCAATTTGGTAGTTTCACCTGTCTCTATGTGTTAAAGAGGCTAGCATTTCAAAGAGGCTAACTGCTAGCATTTCACCAGTAAACACTGAACAAGCCTACGGAAGTTTGAATAGTTTTTGAATAATAGAATTTATAACGGTACATTCTACTTCCTTATCTAGTTTTGAGGCGTCCGTACACAAGATGTTACACTCCTTGTATTTATCCAAATTTACTAAAAATAATTTTTGAACTTCAACTGGAAATGCTATATCCTTTTTACGTCTGGCAATTGAGGTATCTATAGTTGATTTGAAATTGGTCCATCGGGGAATTATTATATCCGGCACATCCATCGTATTTTTTAATGTTTAGATCCGAAAAATGATCAAGAAGTGTTTCTATAAAGTTTTCTCCCTCATGTTACCTGTTTCCTCATTAAAGAATAATACCTTAAGAATAATAGAATTAATAATAAAAGTAAACACTTATATTTAATAAGTAATTAACCTTTCTTTTTCTTCTAAATAATTGTTAACCAGGAAGTAAGATCAAAAGTAATTGCACACAAAAATATTTAATATTAAGTACATGATTTCTCCCGAACCTCCCTGAATCATCTTTCGATACAATGCAATATTGCACTTCGGATCTTCTGTGTCTGATGAGCACATGATCAATTTTCAATGGATCTTAATACTTACAATATCAAGACATGATTAAGATGGAATATTAAAGACGAACACCTGACTCATTGTCTTTAACATGTGGAGAAAGATGGTTCAGGTAACAGTATATTTCTATTTGTATATTTCTAAATAGTCTAAATAAATAATGTTGTTTTCATTTTGAGTAAATTCTAAACCACAGCAATAACGGAAGTTAAATAAAATATTTACAATGAGTTTAAGTACAAACACACGATATAGTTACAAATTTAACTTTTCGATTAAAAATAATATGCTTAATATAAATCGTTTTGATTATTTTATGATAACATAAATAATAATAATAATAACCTTTATTTACATATACAGTGCAAAAAAAAATGGATCAAATATATATATACATACAAAATCTTTCATTTTGATTTATACTTTTTTTTTTAAATGTGATGAACCTGTTCCATCCGTTAATACTCTTTCCTCTCCAATGCTACTCTCTTCCAGACTGCTCCCTCGCAGGTCTTCTTCATGTCCTTGTTCCACTCTATCGGCGGTCGTCCTCTCTTCCTCACGTGATCCCTTGGATAACAATCCATAAACTGCCTGGTCCATGTTATATCATTCCTCCTGATTACATGTCCGGTCCAGGTCCACTTCCTGATGTGCATTTTTTCCACAATATCTGGAAGGTCTTAGCTCTGATCCATTTATTTGCTTTCCTATCCCTTCGTGTTATTCAGAGAAGATATCGCTCCATTCCTCTGACGGTTATCCTCAATTTGTGACAAGTCTTCTGATCAATTACCCATGTTTCACAACCACATGTCATGGTTGAAAGTACTGTGCTCATCCAAAGTTTTCTCTTGACCTCTGAGCTCACCGAGGATCTATATATATTCTTAAATTTGAAGAGTGCTGTGATGTGCCATCCCTGGGTACATCGCCTGATTATTTCTTCAGTTTTTCCTTTAATTGAGATAAGCTGCTCAAGATATAGAAGTGTTTCTACTTTCTCTATATACGTTCGCCTATTTTTATATCTCTATTAACATTCACTGATATATATTTCACTTTTTATAATTTATAATTAGAGCCCGATGTTTTCTCCAGCCATTATTAATTTTTTTGCCATTGTTAGAATTTCTTCTTTATGATAATATAAATAATATATGATAATGTATATATATATATATATATATATATATATATATATATATATATATATATATATATATATGATGACTAATATAAATCATTTGATTATATGTTTTAGATAAAAGCTAGTAAATAAAAATATTAACTAGTAAATAATTCTACTTGATTAAACTGTGAACGTCAATCCTTTTTGACATACACAATCGCAGTTCTTAGGCACGTCCTCAGGTTCCATATCAAGCCTTTCGTTATGGGAGATATGTTTCATCTTCAGTGGTCTAGACAGCTTCTTAGTCATGGTACTCCATGCTAATTATATGACAGTACCGCACTAACGGTGATACAGAATGAATTTTATGATTAACAGCAGGCACTTTCAGAACAATCATTATTGAATGAGAAAAGGTTTGTAAGTTAAAAGGAACGCATATTGAAACTACAACGATTCCAATCAGAAAGGCTAATCAGTAGCAAGAGCTTCCATTAAGACTTCTTAGGTATTCCACACATTCAATCAAATATTAAATCATACTAACGATTCCACAATAAAAATAATGCACACTTATCGATTCAAGAAACGCCGGAGGGAAACATTTTTAACAGCGTTTATGAACAATTTAGATATGGGGCCTTCAAACCACTTCTCAGGAAAGTTATTTAATACTTCAAAATTGTTTAAAAGATATAAGATTTAGTAAATTACTAAAACAGACTGTTGTGCGTTCACAACTTTCTAATATATTTTATGTTACAGAGTACATATACCGCGCTTCCAATGAGTACATATGATGGCAATTTCCAAAGATAAGCAAATCAAAATTATACAAATAAATATGATTTATATCGATGGCTGTTTCTTTCGTATGAATTTGGTGGTTATCCTGAGAGTTAAGACCATTATGTGCTCCTTATGTGAGTCGCAATAAGATAATGTATTTTGAAAAAAAAAAAGTACGCTAAGTGATGGTCGAGCACCGATATAAATTGAAATTGGAAGATACAATTTAATCTTCTTCTAAACAACTCATTATATTTCGTCGTTCACGAATTTGTGAAGCATCATGTTAAGAAATTATGCTCCGTAAGGGGCACTACATACCAGCTCTGGAATTGTGTTTGACGTGAGGACTAGAGATGGGGAGGTAAATCGAGAATCGAATCAAAGAATCGATTCTTCTGAAAGAATCGTACTCTCGAGTAATTCACACGAGATAATCACGATTCCCTCGGAATCGGTCGATTCGTTTTTCGTGTTTGTTGCCAGAGAGTATTGTTACTTGTCTGTAAGTTGGTCAGATGTGTGTTGTAAGTTTCTTGTTTGTATTACTGTACAAGCTTCCTCAGTTTGTTAGAAAGTGCGTTTAGTAGCTGTTTGATACTAGGATAGCGAGATTTTTTCTAATGGTTGAGCACACGTCGTTTTTTCAATTAGAAGTGATCGTATTTCTGAGAGTAAGTAATGTTTGTCTCGCTTTGTTTCTGGTTTGTTTGCTGATTGCCAAGCTGAAGTTTGTACAGTCTTAGTAAGCGACTCTATTGCATTGTCAATATCATCTTCGGTCTTTAATCTTGTATTAAGGTCAATTGTATTGTAATAATGATATGAAATTTATTTATTAATATGTGTCCAGTAGTTATTGTGGATGTGTGATTGGTAATAAACATGTGTTTAGAGAAAGATAAAATGGTCTGATGATAGGTCGTTACTAAAAGAGATATGATGGTGTAATGTGGGTAGGCTAGAAGTTATAAGGAAATCAAGTAATTCTGGTTGTCGGTTTATGTCTGTCGTATTAGTTAGATTAACAAGGATGACACTGACTGATAGTTGTTGTAAAGTCAAGATACAAGGAGCACTATCAGAAAAGTTTGCAGTTGAGGATGGCCTAAGGCAGAGATATCCCTTGTCCCCCATTCTTTTCAACCTAGCCTTAGAATATGTAGTACGTGCTACTCGGACAAGCCCTCATGGCACGATAAATAATAGATTGTCACAGCAACTAGGCTATACAGATGACATGGTAATATCGGCTAGATTAAGAGCATCTTTATTGGGAGCATTTGAGGAGTTCGAAAAAGTTGGGCATCCATGTAAATAATGAAAAGACTGTATATATGAAGTCAACAAGAAACCCACTAGAAAGAATGGAAGAAATGATTAAATTTGGAAGCCAGTCCTTCTTCAGGATAACTAACCAGTTTAAATATTTGGGTGCTCTTGTCACATCAAAGAATGAACACCAAGAAAAACTTAAGGCAAGAGTAGCTGCTGGAAAAAGGTGCTATTACGCTCTTCAGAAACCATTAAAATTTAGAGACCTGACCAACAGAGCTAAGGTCGTATTATATAAACAGTCATTAGGCCAGTTGTATCCTATGGCTGTGAGACTTGGGTACTTTCCAAAGAAAGTGAAAGAATGTTAAAAGTTTGAGAAAGGAAATTACTCAGAAGAATATCTGAACCTGTCTGCGAGAACGACAACTGGAGAATAAGAAAGAATGGGGAGCTGAAAGAAATGCTCAAAGAATCAGATCTGGTTTCTTTTGATAGAAAGAATCAGTTGAGGTGGCTGGGACATGTAGAGCGGATGCCGGCGAATAGGATACCCAAAAAATTACTGGATGGTAAGCCTGGAGGAGAAAGAGTTAGAGGACATCCACGATTAAGATGGTCAGAAGGAATGGAGAGTGTTGAGAGAGATGGGAATCAGAGGATGGAGGAGACTCGCCCAGGATAGAGAAGCAGGATTGTAGAGGAGGCTCAGACCCTTGTAGGGCTGTAGCGCTATGGAGTAAGTAAGGTTTATGTCTGTCGGCCAGTATGTTGGTTCAGATGGTAGTATGCAGTTATAGTCCAATTCTAAACATGTATTAAAAAGAGCATTTCCTCCAGAATTATGGGTCCTACTACCGGAACGGGGATGTTTGGCGTTAAAGACTCCTCCACACAAAATTTTAGTTCCTAAGCTAGCAAGTACATCCGTAAACGTTTCCTGCTCGTAGTTTAGGAGGGCAGGATGCACTGGCAATAGAAATATTGTTGTGATCAATTTCAACCGAGATAGATGATAATTGAATTTCTGGTAAGGCAGTCATCTGAAGAGGATAGTGGTATAATGTTCGTTTTACGACCATTTCCGATCCACCACGGACAGTACTGATGGGATGGTCAGCGCGGTACACAACATAGCCTTGAATGTAAAATGTTGTAGTTTGAGTAAAATAATTTTCGGTTAGTAATGCAATGTCAATGCCATGTTCATGTAAATAAATGTCAAGTTCGTTCCTTCGGTGTAGGGCTCCATTTGAATTCCAAAGAAGGATTTTTAGATAGAATTGGGGACTAACGTGAGGAATAAATTTGGTAATTAGCACTAGCGGATCCAGGATTTAATTTTGGCGAGGCTTCAGCCCGAAAGCTTTTTTTTTTCATAAAAATAACGATAATTACTTTGGAAAAAAAGAAAGAAACTAACTACCTATATGAAATGGTGTTTAAGTGGTTCCTAATGCCCTTTTAAATGTAATTACACGAACAATAATACTTTGAGAGATAATTTTTTAATGTTTTTTTCGATAAAACAAAGTTATATTTTCCCATTTTAGGGGGGGCTTCAGCACGAAAGCACTCCCCCCCCCACCCGTAGATCCGCCCGTGGAAATTAGCGTGGGGAAAAGAGTAATGAGCTGAGTTATCATAGATTTAAAATAATTTAAGAAGGAGATAAAATATAATGCGATATCTGGGGTATTAGGTTATGTATTAGATGTGTAAGTTTCATCGTTGGAGCCCTTTTCGCGCAACAGTCTATAGAAAAACAGGTTTTTAATTTATTGCGCAGCAGCTATTGCCCATGGAGCACCCAATTCGTGTCACAGGCATCAGTAGTCAAAATTCTACAAGGAGCAAAATAAAAAAAGGAGCAACAAAATCGGTTCACTAATTCCCGAGAAAATCTTGGCACAGGCAGACAAACACACTAATTGCCAAAAATGTGTTTTTCGAACTCAGGGATCACAGAAATGTATAGATCCGTCGAAAACTGCATATCGGAAATTTGACTCGATCGCAATATTTTCCTTACCTGGTATAGGTAGAAAATTAAAAAAGGATTTGGAAATGAGTTATTCCAATGTTTGTATTATGGGATAAAAGAAATAATTTTCTATACCTGATTTTTTTTCATTTTTCTGGAGGTCGGTAACATTTCAATTAATCATGGGTACAACTAACCACAAATTGTATACTTTTTGAGTTATGCACAAATAAAGTTTATTTTTCTGCGTAACATTTCTTTAGAAATTTTTGAAGAAATGCTTATTTTTCATGGTTTGAAACTGAAACAAAAAGCTTTTATTTTCAAAAGATTTCGGTATCACAGGAACATTAATTATCGACAGTTTTCAGATCGATAGTTTTTTGCAGGTTTACTCAGGTATTAGAAGTAATGAGCTATATCATTGCAAAACAAGCAATCACGGAAGGAACTCCAGTAGAAGATGCTTTTCCAAAAGAAGTAGTAGCTTTGGTAAAGAAAGAGGCTCTGGAGAAATGCCAGGGTATCTGGCATGTTTTAAGAGACAATGAGAGCGGTCGAGCCCTCTGTAGTTCCAAATCGAGCGGACCTCCAGTAGAATAGAAGAATAGAAGAGAAGAAATAATCCTAACAAGACTCCGTATCGCCCACTCATGGCTAACTCATGAGCACCTAATGACAAAGGGAACACCCCCTCAGTGTCTCTGCTGCGGGGTCAATTTAACAGTCAGGCACATTGTGACTTATTGGACACAACGGATTGAAGTTTAATTGGAGAATGATATTACTGATATTACTGAAACTTTGAAAAAACAACACCAAATAGGCAAAAAAATTGTTTACATTCCTTCAAATAACACACCTATATAACAAAATTTAAATTTTGTAAGTAAATTATTTTTTTTACTTTCAATATATTGTTAAATTTCATCTGATGTAATATAAATGCTGTATAAAGGCTTAAGTGACCCTTAAGAGATTGAGGAGCCCCCCATTGTTATAAATGAATAAATAGATCTTTTGCGACTAGATTTTTTTCCCTGCTACGTAAAGGTTTTACAGAACTTATATTTTTTAAAAACTTTTATTTAAAAGTTTTGTTGAATTCACTAAAAAGTATATCTAAAAAATAACTCTTATTTATAACTATTCAAATGAATGGCACATTAGAATCATGTGTAATTCATTTAAGACTAATTATAAATATAATCTAAGCCCATTCACTATTTATTTTTCATTTAACGGAACTTTTTTTGTGAACTTCAATAAATAAAAGTTAAAGTTTCACGATAAACCTGGAACTTTATTACAAAAATGTTACTTAGAACTTTTATTTTTAGAACATTTTTCCTAAAAAGGTTTCTAGAAAACTGTTAAAATGGAACTTTTTTAAAAACAGTTTCAACCCCTGCTATTTTTCAAACATGTATACTGCCTATATTTCTAACTTAAGAAGAAAGAACGCTGATATTTTTATAAACGTAACTTTTAAACCTAACAGTTACCAGTTAATAAGGAAATAAAAGTTAAAGAATTATGTTAGTAACTTGTCATTGTAAACAAAACATTTGACTAAAAATCATAAAGTCTTTTCGTTTTATGTAGGTTTTCGAGAGAAGCGATTGTGAGGAAGAAGAAAAAAATGAAGGTATTGTAATACTTTTACTAAAGTAAAAAGTGGATTTTTTTATATTAGTCTATTAAACAGTAATATTAATGTTTATTTTATTTTTTCTAGCCAATAACGATTTGAAGGAACAGAACATTCCTGTAGATGAAGACTGCAAACGACCGTAAGTATGCATCTATTGATACAAAAAATAAAAAAACTTCAATAAAAATAATATGAAATAAATAAAATTAATAAAAATTAAAGATTAATGTAATTTTTTCATTAACTTCTTGTAGGCAATAGGCACGTTGAAAACAAGTTATTGTCTGTATTTATTTTCAAATGGACCTGTACTCTTTTTTTACTAAGATGCATTTCTTTAGGGATAGTAAATACATTAAAAAAACTATAAGAATCGGCGCGGACGGATTATGGTTTTTGTTATGGATGATAGGCAACATATATATTTATGTATATGTTGCCTGTATGTTTTATATATTTATTTTATTTTACTGCAAACAGCACTAGCGGAGACAGGATAAGTACAAAATACAGGATAATACAAAACACCTCCCGACTATCTTTTACCGTCCCAGTCAGTAGCTCATTATCTCCAAGGAACACTTCCACATTCTCTGGAAGAGGTTCCAAATGGAGTTACAGAATCCTTTCGTTTAAAACTGAAAGAGCACTATTGTGAAGAAATCGAAATGTGTAAACTTTGAAACCTTGATAGTTCGATTCCTATTGGAGTAAGAAAAAAATGTTATGCGCAAAAATATTAGATAATTTTAAGCTGTTTTAGATTGGATATAACCGTTTTATATTTGTTTCGCTCTAAAAAGGTGAATTTAACTTGGATTTTTATATTCACTACATACCTAACAATATAGAAAAGAAATTTGAATTACCCGGCCTTTTGAAAGGTAACATATCTGATTTGACTGGGCTAACTGACTATTAGACATTATTGCATTCAATGTTTTAATTTTAATCTGATTTCAATAAAATTCTTCATTTATAAGATAGGTACAAATAGGGAAGCAGGATGGCCGAGATGGCTCACGGGTGTGTAAAACATGTTGCTCGGCAACATGAAAAACATAAGATAATATGATAAAATAATTACGTGTTTCGCGTCCCGGTGAGGAGGAAGGATTGCTTTTACATCTGCAATTAATCTTCCTACCCTCTCTCCTGGTCCAGAAAAAAATACGAAAAGGTGAGGAATGGGAGGAACAAAAAAGTACATATATAATATAAAATAATATGCAGAGTTTAGTTAAACAAATGTTTGATAATTTTAATTATTTAAAACACTATTATAGACTTGTTAAGAAGAGCGAAATCAGAATAGAACAACAGGTACAATGTCCATAACAAAGGTATTTTGAAGAAAATTTATTAAATCATCATTTTGTTTTTAAAATCATTTGATAATTAATAAAATAAAACAGGATAACTTTCTTATTAAAACAGAAGTTGATTGTGTCCTTTCACGAAGATGTGGCATGAGCTACATAAAACTATCACTCACTGAATGATTTATTAATTATCGTTTATCAACCATATTTTTTTATTTTTTGAAATAAGCTATATTTTTTAAAATATATTTTTTCGTAATAAATAGATATTATTAAGATTCATTCTGCAACGAAAATCGCATTGAAAGTAGAAAACAATTCATAACACTTTTGTGCCATTAGATCATCATCAATTAGCAAATGGTAATCTAATGTTATGATGGTAATTTTTTTTTTTGCTCAACTTCGTCAGTAATCACGGGCGGATTTACGGGAGGGAGGGGGCTTTCGGGATGAAGGCCTCTCCCTCCACCCCCAAAATGGTAAAATATAACCATGTTTGATGGAAAAAAATGATCTCATTTTATGTAAAGTATTATTGTTGATGTAATCACATTTAAAAGGACTTAAGGAATCACTTAAACACCATTTCATATAGTTTATTTCTTTTTATCCAAAGTAATTGTCGTTATTTTTATGACATAAAAGCTTTCGAGCTGAAGCCCCCCTCCCAAAATTAAATCCTGGATTCGCTAGTGTCAGTAATCAACTTTGTCAATAATCAGCAAATGTTCTCGAAATACACGACATGACAGGTATGGGGGAAGGAAAATACTCAACAGCACCTGTTGTCTGCACCTGACTTGTTTCGGTTACTCACGTTGTTTATGGAAGGAGATCTCCCATCCAACGCCTTGGTAATGGTAAATAGTAAATTAAAATCGCATTGTACGTGTGCATTGTCCAAGGCAGCTGTCCTCCCATCCCTTCCTCTCCCAACGTAGAAAAAATCATGAATAAAATAGCAGCGAATATAAACAATATGTTTCTAAAACATGTAGTGACAGCTACTGTTGGTTGTTAGAATATCAACATTTTGAAAGAAACTAATAAAGAAAAAAAAAAAAAAAACCTCTTCTAAAGAAATTTAATTTGAAAAATTGCTCCTCCCCTTTTTGGAAAAATATTTTTGAACTGGCAACCCTCTTGATGTTGTTTATTTCATTACAATACCTAGAATTATTTCTGCTTCAAGAATTAATGAAATCTAAAATTTAATATTATCGAGGACTTAATTATTTCGCGAATGATTAAACATATATTGGTTGTTCGTTTTTAGCTGATTAGTATAACAGTATATATATTATATATTATTCTTGAAGTAACATATCTCCTGAGGCCAATTTTTTTGGACACAGGCGCAAAGAATAGTGAGAGTTTACTATAGAACTGCGTTAAATTTATGACTAGGTCCTAAAAGTTCAATTTTAACTCAAAATTTTCAATTATTTTTGACTGTTTAGTTTGAAATGTTACTGAAGCCGAGCATTCCTTTTGCAGAGAGGGTGAACTGATCGAGAGAAGGTTCCGACACCTGGCCCAGTCGTTCCGAGAGCGCACGGCGAGGGTGAGGAAGAGGTTCGACCTGCCGCCGACTCCTTCCACCGTCAGCAGCGAACCAGGTACCTTCAATATCTCCCCTTCCTTTGTGGAGAGCTAGAGCTCTCGAGAGCACGGCCCATTGTCCACAGACAATGTCCATAGGCCACACCTCATTGAGGCTACGCTGATCGCAGCTAGGGCAACACCATCACATCTTCATTCCGTTTAATGAACGGTAGGCCCCGGGGCATGGCATTGTGTTGACCGCCCAAGACCGTCTTTGTCTATTTTCACGAAGGTGCCATTAGGTAAATGAAGTTTCTGCATCAGAAACGACCCCTATTCACTAAGCTATTTGATTTGAGATCAAGCAATCAATACCTTACGGTTCTACATGTGATGCAGGAACTATACCTACTTTATACTGACGCGGCTGATAATGGATATCAGGTTGTATATAACCTTTTACTAGCCCAATTCATATCCAAATCAAATATCATTTTTTTTTTTGCCTTCTAATTTTTTACAAGAAATATTATATAACGTTATATAACGATTACATTTTTTTTATAATAAAAAAGATTCAGTAAGATTTTTTTTATGTTCACCATTTGAATCTATTGTTCACAACTAATTAAAATATTAATTTCATCGTCAGCATTTTGTTTTTATATATTGGCACTCATGTATGCAAATTAGAAAAATAAAATCTTTCACTCCACCTTTCGAAACACAACCCCTATTTTGATTTTCTACTGATTGGCTCATACGTATTAGTGTTTTAAAAGCTGTCGATGAGGTTAATTGAGAGAAATGTTAATTTCAATGTATTTTATAATTAATAAGCGTAAACACCAGATTTTCTCCCTAAACCATTTTATGGTAGATACAATATTTATAGATAATAGGTGAACCTTAGGAGGGTCCTTAGCCAGGAGGAGCCCAGAAGGGATGGCACAAGTTGCGCCATCAAAATTTTTGAGGGGGGCACATTTTGACGGACACTTAAAGTGCAATTGTATATGAACTATAATTTTTTTTTTATACTACTGTAGCTTGCACTGTTTATAAGAAGAGTAGAGCAATAAAATATCTTGAGAGGAGGGGAAGGTTCATACGCCATCGACCTTGGGGAGGGAGGTCACCCCTGGATTCACGGTTGATATATTGGACTCTACCCAATTATTAATTAACTATAAATATTATACAATCATAGTGGTCCCTCGAAACATCATTGAAAACAAATTCTCTTTATGCAGTATTGCTCAGTATTGATCATGGAAGAGCAAAAGTCCTATCGCTACATCCGCAGTCTAATTCAAGAAACTTTATTAAATTCAGACTACTACTCCTGCCCCATCATTCATATATTTCGACTATAGAACCTCAATTTATTAGTTAATCACCTATAGTTCATTATTTAACTATGATTTACTATCAACGAATGACCAGTTTGCCATATTAACTTCCGGCAATATCTATTTATCGTCTCACATTTTCTTTGAATGAAAACATTCTGACGCTACTTTATTTAATTCAAAAGCTGGGAACCGCTTCTACTCGATGCTCAGGATTCCTAGAAAATTTAGCCTTCTAATATTTCTCGGTTGACATGAGAAACCACCCATCTCCTCCTAAATTCAAATCCTACGTTTGAATTAGTTCTTTGTTTTCTTGATTTCTCTTGCTCCCCTTGAGCCAAGTGCCCCTCTCCGCACAACGTGGGTTCTGGATGTGTTATCACATCAGTGAGCAGTTCTCACTCTCTTAGTTTGAATTTACAGCGCATTGGAACTATTAGCTGCCTAGCCAGAAGCTATTATGGGAGAGGGAAGCCACAATGAGATCTTCGATAAGAGCTCAGTTCAACATAACAATCCAGTTAACAAATTAAATACTTCTTCTTTGAGAGGTGTCCTGCGCTACCGTTAGCAATGCCGGAGTCAAAAACCTCTGAGGCTGTCCTTTGTTGTCACCAGCGGTCAGGGGCGGGACAATGCAATCCACATGTCATCTTGGGCACGATGCTTATTGAAAACTAGAGCCTATTCAATCTAGAAAACAATTAACTCGGTAATTCATACGGCAGCACTGTCCAGGCTTCACTCCTGCACTTTTCTCCATTGTTCTCAAATGAGCTTATTACTGTGAAATTCCTTTTAGACAATCTCTTGGATTATTCTCTGAATGGAAGCATCTTCGGGGCTGCATCTGTGGGCATATTTGATAAAGGATTTTTTTATAGAAAATATAGTAAAATGTCCCATGCATAAAAATATTTTAATTGAACGGTGTTATTTTGACCTTAAATTCAGTAATTTTTTTTATAATGAATTCATTGAGAATTAATATAATTAATATACTCATTGAAGTGAAATAATTATCAGAACTACAAATATTCAATTTCAATAACTAGAATCAATAATCGAGAAACTCGGTAAGACTGATAAGAGAAGCAGAGCAAATCTCGGTATACAACTAAATGAAGATAAAAAAAATAATGATAATTAGCCGAAATACCAATAACAAGATCTGCCTTGAAGGAAAATCGTTCCCAGGAGAAGAAAAATTCAAACACCTTGGATCCACAATAACTTCAATTATAACCAACGGTCAGAAATAGACCAGCGTATAACTAGAGCAGAACTTTCTTCTCTATTTCTAAGGTATTAAAAAAATATCAACAATTCTTAGATCAAAGGGGAATCAAATTTAAAAAAAAGATTAAGTTGGATGATAAATTTAATACTAAGATAAAGCCAGATCTCTTGCACGGTACGATACCTGAACACTAACCAGTGCTCTTGAAAAAAGTATTAAAAGATTTGAGAGAAAAGTCACCGAATAGGAGTACTGATACATGGAGGTGAGAGACCAATAAGGAGCTGCTTACAGAAATCGGTTAATCAATATCTCATGATATGGAGGCAAGGAGATTAAGATGGGCTTGGATTCAATTAATCTTATATCCATCCAGTACTGTGGACATCCTTCATACCGGGACTTCTTCTTTCTAAATTATCATTTTTTTTTTAATAATATGAGTGGATAGAACGGGGATCAAGAAAGACTTCATTATAAGGGTGGGCTATAAATCCATTGCAGATGGTACAAATGAGCATAGCATTAATTTATTAACTGCGAAAATAGGAGAATAAACAAGAATGATGAGCATCAACACATAATATTTTTTATTTAAAACAACTATCAATAATATCATAGTCATGAGTATTTATGGCTAAAATACAAAATAAAAAACTGCGGCTTGTGGTTTAGACCACACGATAGAAGTAAAAATCTCAACAAGACGAGATTAATAATGTGAAATATATATTTTTTTCTATATACACAAATTAATAAATTCATAATAAACAGGATGTCCCGTGAGTAGGGGGAATTTTTTATAAAAGTGATAAAACCCTTTAGGAGCTAGAAAAGGGCCCTTTTAATTATTGGATCAATTTTCAGCAGAATAGTAGCAAATCCAAGTGTTGTGTTTTTTTTAAGTAAGTTACCCATTTTGTTGAATAGGAAGCAATAATTAAAGAAACATTTAATTTAAGTAATAAACAATTGATTCACTATAAACTAGACAAAATTTACTTCAAATGAAAATAGAGGTTGGCATTGATACAACCATTTAAACTAAATTAAGTTGTTTTTAAGTATATCAAAAATTATTCGTGATTTTGTTTTTATGTTCATTCAACTATACTACAGGTAGCCCACTTTTAGAAAAAAAACTTCCTCGTTTAATAATCATTAAGTAAATATAAAATAAATTGAGGTTTACTGGCGAAAATTTGAGATTCACCTCAAGTTGTGTAAAAAAAAATATTTTATTTTTTTATCCGATCATCTGAATGTACAACTGTTTTCAGCAAAAAATACTACAATTATCATCGGTTGCAAGGCTTTTTTTTCGTGATCTGAGATGTTTAATAATAAACATAATTTCATAAATACACTTTTTATTAATAAAATTTTAAAAAATGATTTTTCAAATATTTTTTATATTAAGTGGTTATAAAAACTGTGTGAAACTTTTCTTTGGGTAAGAAAAACGAGTGCAGCAGAAAATCTGATAGAAACACATAATTTCTTATTTTAATGGATAATTTAAAAAAAAAAAAACCAATGAATTTCCCAAATTGGTTTTTGAATTTTCCATGGTATTTAAATTTCTCGAAATTTTCGTAACTAAAGCACCATAATTGCTAAGAAACAGAATACCGTTATTTCACAATAGGTAAAACATGTACTAAATATTTTGTAGAAGAAATGGTATATAAAGGCCCGACGAGAGGTGGGAGCCGTGGTTGGAGCTCTGATAAATTTAATATTTGACGGGGGTTCGGAAAAACTATTCTTGGGGTCTTTGGTTCCTTTTCACGACCCTGGTTATATGTATAATGTGGAATAGCCAACACAATTGAAGAAAACACCTTCAGTTAGTATAATAAAATAATTCGTGTGTTTTTGAAACTTCCAGTTGAAATTATTGATTAACATACTGATCAAAACAAATAAATGTTATATTGTTTTCATAATGATGTAGAGATGGTTGACCGTTGATATAATATGAGAAGGAGTTAATCGAGGGTGCGGTCAAATAAATAATAAATTAAAATAATTAATATATTTTAATTTATTATTTATTTGACCGCACCCTCGACTAACTCCTTCTCATGTTATATCGTTTTGTTTATATTAATCAAGAAAAACAATACATTTTCTACATTCGTCATCTTCTAATGCAACCTTATAGTTGATATAAGAAAATGTCGATTTATAATTGGCCATATCAAGTGTTTTTATCCGAGATACAGCGAGTTGAACAGTACAAGTATTGTTAAGATTAATTGAGGAAGAAAAAAATCAATATCAAAACGTTTATTGGTTAGACTTCTGACCCTTTTCTACAAAGAGGTTTAAATTTACTTTTCAAATTTTCATTTCTAATAATTCGTAGTCATATTTCGAGAGAAGAAAACTTTTAGTTAAATTTATAATTAAAACATTTGTCTTATGATTTTCCAATGCGGCTACTAAATTTAACTTGCTTATATCTAAAGATAATGAATACGAGTTAACATTGTGTAAGCTGTTTTTAGAATGAGACGGATTAGTCTAAAAAGTTTTATTCTTTAACACCTAGATTTATTTTATGCCAATTTATGCCAATTTACATTATTCTGTAATAGTATTAATAGAGATCACGTGACTAAAATAAAATTCTGGGAAGGATTATCTAGTCACCGCAGTGCCCGATCATCATTTTCACTACCAACGGTCTGGATGTAGCCCATTTAACTGGAGACATCTTCTCAATAGGGCTGATGCTCCTTAATCTCACTGAGCCCAGAAGCTATCCCAAGACCTGTCAAGAGAACAATGTATATTACGGTGATAAGAACGTGGATATCATATGAAAGACTGATTCGCGGTCATACTTCAGTAGTTCAGGTATTATTCTGTACTCTGGTATTAGCTAAAGACTTCCATTTCAGAAGATAAGCCGTATTCAGTTACCCCTATTAGAATTGGGGTCTTATGACAATTGAAACGTGACGGATAACGAACTTCATAGTCCATCTCAACTTCCTGACAAGAGAAGGTCCGTTGTAATCAAAGATCACCGTTAGCTGGCTGAATATTGTCTCTGGATGGACGTATCCATTCACCAATGGCTCCGAGTCGAACAATAACTGCCAACCGCCTGGTGTCGGAGCGTCTTCATTAAGTTCATGCAGGATTCTAGCGCCACCGCAAAACGATTTCCATACTCCTGATAATTGGATTACACGCTTCGTTTATTATTCCTCACAGGGTTAGCACCGTTACCTACCTTTGCAGGTCTTTCATCTCGGCTACAATAATGACTGGGCTTGTTATTGTTTACTGCCTACTCATGGCAATTTAACAGCAAATCAATTTGCTCCGGACCAAATTATTTCTTTGTCATCATCAAGCTATCCTTGCAAGTATTTTTATTAAGGGGCTTTAAGTGAATAATGGATGACAAGAATTGTTATCCATCCTAAAGATGTGCTTAACCTATCAAAAGATTAAGACTCAATATCTTAAGAGATGTCAAGAAAAAGACAAATATATATGAATAAAACAATACCCTCTATTTATATACATAAAAAAGAAATATCTCTCATGATAATAATTGTATAAATCAAAACTATTGCCTGATATTAGAGATTTGGTATAAATATATACAAAAAAAAAATCTAGTTTAAGTAGCCTACAAGATGCAATGTAAACATTTTATTTCCAAGTGTTGAAAAATAATTTACAACCTAATGCAAAACACATTGCCATTGATTGGTCAAAAATGTCCAAATAACTCACTTTTCAAACCATTTCTACACCTTCCCCAAAGGGAATTAGTTTAAATGTCTTTCATTCAAAATAATCAGTTATTATTATAAACCTAGTCACTCCTACTAATTTTCTTTCAAAAAACAGATTTTAGTCCAACTCTGGATTTGAAACATAGTCCTTCAGGCATAAGGAGCCATTGTTGTTCTGATTGGATTAAGTTGTATTGGATTAATTCCTGTGAAAGTTTACTTTTTAATCACAAATAAATGAAGAGGAATTAATATGGGAAATAAAACATTTCCAAAGATTTTAAGATCTATAATACAAAGAATGTTGCTTTGTTTTATTTTTTAAAATTATAAAAATTATTTTTATTTGTATATTTAGGATTGATTTAAAATTAAAATTACACAAATAATAGCAAATACTGTGTTAAGGAGGCTGATAACTGTCAAAGTTGCCAGGGTCTATATTACTCATCATTACTCAGCACATTACTGCCTAATAGCAGCTTACGGGATGAATTAGTAGAATGAAGTGATAGTTAATTATCAATTATCAAGACATCTTATTCATCAATTATAAGACAACCACAATAACTGATAATGGACTATTTTATGTAATTCAATATCCATACAGAGTTGCTAAATCATAACTTGCCCAAAGCATTATGCTGGACATTTTTTTCCCCTAAGAATTAAAATATTTAAAATGCTCAAAACTGTAAAGTTAAATTAATATGTTGGCACCATAGTCATTATATCAACAATAGTTAGTAAAACATACAAGTAATGATAATTATTACTAAATATTTGATAAAATAGGATTCAATAGTACTCAAATTATACTCCAGGAATGTTTCTAGAAATTTTAAATGACAACTGATTTAATTAATTGTTATTTTTAATTATATATTTTAAATATATAATTAAAACCAGTGACTTGTCCGTTAATTAAAACACTTTGTGTTATATTACATACATTAGATAGCCGAGTTTGATACCGGTTTTTTTTTATGTAAAAAATAGGTAGTAAGCTTATGGATAATTTCTTAATTATCCCTGCAGAACAAAAAATAAAAGAATTACACTTCCCATAATGGAAACATAATAAATATCATGCAATGCACTATTTCAAAGAGTTTATAATATCTTTCATGCCGACATATTTCCATAGTTGATCATCTGATCTGTTCACAAAATATGTAAAACAAGGCAGCCAATATTAAGAAAAATAAAATTTACATGTCCATATTAACCTCTGCTACAGTTTCCTTTCTTACAGAAGAAGTGAACACACGGGTATCAGCAGAGGAAGAAAGGCAACTAATGGCATCAATGTCAAAAGAATGGACACCAGAACCAGAAGGTGGAAATTCAAAAGCTATTGTTGAACCACAAAGTAAGTACAGCTTCCAATTATTACATTATCTTTAAGTAATTAAATTTTGGCTAACTATCGTGAGCGGTAAGATTTCAGTACATTACGTAGTCCTTTTAACTACCTTTAAAAATTATTGTCTCTTTTTAAAATAAGTCTAATCATACATCATAACTCTTAATTAATATGAGAGTATTCACTCTAACATATTTTTACAGGTTGCTTATACGTGACGTGGTTAAGTGTAGTGACATTAAGCTACTTATACAATTGTTTTGTCATTCCCTTAAGAACAACTTTTCCATACCAATCAACTGAAAATACACCAACATGGCTAGCTCTTGACCTTAGCATGGACTTTATATATCTCCTTGACATGGCTGTTGTAAAGCCTCGAGTGATGTTTCTAGAAGGTGGTTTTTGGGTAAGGGATACCAAACTTACAAGGGGTAACTACCTCGGCAAGTCAGAATTTATAGTAAGTATTACTTATCAAGAGAAATTATCAAAACTTTTAACTGTAGGCGCATTCATTAATTGATTCAAAATTAGATTAAATATTACCAATTTTTTTTATTTATTTACATTATACCATTACTGCTTCATTAATGAAATATTAAATATCATAAATAATTATTAATTATCGTCTCATTTGATAGCTAATAATATACAATACTTTAAAATGTTTTAACTAAAGAAAGTAAAAATAAATCTGGATGAATAATGAAGTTTGATTTCTATCAGGTAAAGGATAAAATTAATATTGACTTTAATCATCAAAATGAATCTCATAATTCACAATATGACTTAAAAATGGTGAACAAATATAAATAGTAAAGGAGACAACACAATATGTCCTATCAATAAAACCACAAGTTTATGCCCAATGTCAGTATTTTCCGTATGTTTCAGAGACATTTTGCTCACCATATTTTTGTTCTTAAAAAGTTAAATATTAATCACATCAAGGAAAGAAGAGAGAGAAGAGCCCCTAGATTATGAGTCAGTAAATTTTCAGCTTATTAAATTAATAAAAATAGGATGAGATTCAGAAGTAAAATATCTATGGCCACTGTTGCCAATAGAACAAACATGTTTGCATCACGATGACTTTAACGACCTTGTGTAACTTCTTATGTTGGAACTATGCTAGGATTATATCTCACATCTATACAAAAATCCCAATGAGCAATTAGAACATCCGAAAAAAGAGGATATTAGATGGCACTAGCGGGTCCAGGATTTAATTTTGGAGAGCTTTAGTCCGAAAGTTTTTTTTCATATATATACAAGGATAATTAATTTGAAAAAAAAAACAAAGAAATTAATTACCTATATGAAATTGTGTTTAAGTGGTTCTTGAATTCCTATTTAATGTAATTACATGAACAAGAATACTTTAAGAGATAGTTTTTAATATTTCTTTCTTTAAATATGGTTATAATATACCATTTTGGGGGAGGGAAATTCACCCCGCAAGCCCCCCTCTCTCTCCCCTCTTTTCCGTAGATCCACCTGTTTTACAGAGTATTTATATAAGCAAAATATTGGTATTATGGTGGAGTATCCTAAACACTAACAAAATGACAATCTTAAATGGAGAAAAATACAATAGAAAAGAACAGCTATTAAAGCCTGATAATCTAAACCTCTTATAAAAACATGTCCGTCCTGTCTTCTGCTCTAGCTAAAGTTCAGAAAAGCACAAAGGCTAATAAATAAATTGAGGCACATTAAAAGAAAATAGATAACTTAAAAAAAAAAAGTAAAATTAAATACGCTTAAGTGAGTAATAACAAATAAAATTTAGAGAATATCATGTTTTACATTGTGTATATGTAACACTTAAACTGTTGAAACTATAATTGTAACGTTATACTTGAAGTGAAAAAAAGGTAGACCATAGTTTTAATTGTTATAATGAATGTTATGTTTTTAATCATACACAATTACTCATAAACAAGAATGCAATGTCTAAATTCAAGTAACTTTTTAGTTATACTAATAAAAGTAAGTGAAGTCCATATCAGATGTAATCCATTTTGAAAAATACTTAAAAATTCCAGGAATCCCAACAGTTTTTTCAGGGATCTTGGTCAGAAGGACCAACATAATATACCACAATATGACCTAACTAATATTATTTAACATTGCTTAGTCAAAGCCAAATTATTATAATTTTAGTAAATTTTAATATGATTGCTTTATTTGTAGGCAGATGTCCTATCATTAACTCCACTGGACCTATTATATTTTTATTTTGGCCCCAATTACCCTCTTCTTCGAGTACCACGACTTCTCAAGGTAATATTAGATTCATACTGCGAATTATTTCTTGAAAATTTCTGTAAATAACATTTCTCAAAAAAATTTTAATTTATATTTTTTATAACGAATGTATTTTTAACTAAGTGAAACCTCCAAACACTTTTTCCATAAATTAATTATCTTTTTATAAAATTCCAGATACACAGCTTCTGGGAATTTTTTAATCATTTCGATAAGTTTTCTCCATCACCTTACATAGTTCGAATTGCAAGGACATTAACATACATGCTATATCTTGTCCATATCAATGCTTGTGCCTACTATTGGGTTTCTGAAAATGAAGGAATAGCCACCAACCATTGGGTTTTCAATGGGGTGGGAAATGCGTAAGTCTATTTTATTTCTCTAAATATTTATATTGTATGTATTAATTGAGGATAAGAATGACATAATATACAGTTATTTTGTAGATACATCAGGTGTTTTTATTTTGCTGTAAAAACCGCAACATCGATAGGAAAAAACCCTCGCCCAGAGAATGAAGCAGAATATATATTTATGACAGTCTCATGGCTAATGGGAGTATTCGTATTTGCTATCCTCATCGGGCAGGTATAATTTATTGTTGAATTTACTATTTTAAAAAACTTAACGCAATAAGTAAATGTTTTTTTCCTATTTCGCCAATATTCTATGGCCCAGCAAAGTTTGTTTGTACAAAGAAAAATCTACAAATCATCCTCCTTCTTACGCCTACAACCTTCTTCAATTCAAGTCCTCAGTCCATTCCCTTTTCACAAGATCTCGTCCTTTTGACCTTTACATCGCTTCTCACAGATCTGCCTCATTCCAAAACTCCTTTATTGCTCACACTGTTAATTTCTGGAATTCCCTTCCTATCAAAATCGGGCATTCCCCCTCCATAACTACATTTAAAACCCTTCTATTCCTATTCCTCTCCCAAAACAGTTAGATACCTACTAACCTTTTATGATGTAATCCCCATCCCCATCCCCACATATATTATTACAGTAAGGCTCGAAATCGGTTTTTTAGCAAATATAAGCTCCTGCCATGCTCAAAGACCATGAATGGGGTACCGTTGAATTCAAAATTTCATGGGGAGTTTGCGAATCTTATTCTCCACTTTTGTTTTTCTTTCTAAAATAAATAAAGTCTATCTAACCATTTTGCTAGGCTTCAATACTGGAACAGTGGTAAGTCTGTAGATCGATATGGGACAAATTGGGCTTTAAAGATTTTGATGCGTACAGCAAGACCCGACCCTGCGTTTTTTAAGCCCCAAAGCGTACTATTTTCGAGATAACGCAAGGCATAAGGTTTGGATCCACACAACCTTATGTTAATTGCAGTACTGTCTCATTTCGTCGACTTGAGGCCTCTATGATCAAGAGAGGAGGAGTTTATGTTATTTATCGACGGTGTTTTTGATCGGCAAGCCATATCAATGTTAATTCTTCACCAAGTCTCAAGATTGAGCCACCAATTTTCAAGGCTTCCTTCTCCTTTAGGTGGGGAAAATAGTCCAATCACCCCGAAAATTCAGGCAAACAAGTTATGATAGAAAAGAAACTATATTTGCGAATAACTAAAAAATTACACACTTTTCCCTTGGTGATGCCCATGATTATACAAAAGATTACTTAATTCCCTACAAAATGAAGGAAAAAAAATCATCTAAATCGATTAGAATTTTTTCAATATTTTGTTTTATTTCATTATTTATTTTTTCTTATTTTCGATTAATATTCATTGGTAGAGCTCTATTATAGTCCATTTCATTTGAAAATAACTATATATTTGGAATATAGTATGATGATTTTAGTATGATTACGACGTTGAAACAATTTGTACTGACCGAAGGAGGAAAGTGGGTTCAAATATTTTTTTAAGGGAAAACAGAGTTGAGATTTGTATTTCGCACCTCTATAAAGCCTCAAATACGAAATTTCATAGAAATAAAAAAAAAATATATTTTTTTGCACTATATCGGAACCAAGCCTCCCCCCCCCCCCTTCGACTTTCTTTTGAAAATCACAAAAATTGGGGTAACATAAAAATGACTCCACGTATCCTCATGGAAATTGAAGTTAAGTTAGGACTACATAAGCATAAATAGGACTACATACACGAAATGACACAAACCAGACCCCTGTAAATATAATAGAAGTAGAGATATAAAATAAAAATATTTGAGGAGTTTTTCTATATTTATTGTTTTTAAATGTGTAAAAACGAAGTTATTGATATGGTGTTGAAGAGTAATATCTCAGCTTTCCAATGATCATAGAAACATTGAATTAGAAGAAAATCTTGAGGAGTTATGAATTAGATACTAAAGCAGAGAAAAAATCAAATAGAAAGTTAAACCACCTTTCTATGGCAACGCAGTCAACAGAACATTGCTATCCCTAATCCTATCATTACATCCCCACATATAGTATTACAATAAGGCTCGAAATCGGTTTTGTACCAAATATAAGCTCCTGTCATGCTCATGATTATATAAAAGAATACTAAATTCCCTACAAAAGGAGAAAAAAAATCATCTAAATCAGACAATTTTTATCAAAGATACAGCTTATTGAAATTTGTAAACATATTGGTTCTAAACATTAATGAAGTTTTAAATTAATTTGTGTTTCTTTTGTCGATTATATTTATCGATAAAGGAACAATTGATTTCTTTATCTTTTGGTATCTGCATATTTTTATTTACTCACTAATTTGGCATTTGATCACTTAACAATATGCTATGCAAATTTTTTGCATGGGCCTACTAGTTACATATTATTCATCATTTAATTAATCAGACAATTTTTACTATCAGATTCGGTTTTCTTTTTTTTAATGTATTTTTTTTTTTCTAAAAGTGTATATTTATGTTTTATCACTGTACATAATTTTAAGTGTCGTCATAGTTTCAAGTGTTTTGTATATAGGTTTTTTTTTTGTATATAGTATGTTTTGACTGATGTTTTCTTTACTTTTTCTCTTTCGTTTTATTTTTTGTTTTTGTTTTTATTTAGGCCAGGTGTAATATTTTATTTTTTTAATATTCTTTTATTCTAAAGGGACTTTGTCCTAGAATAAAATTATTTTTTATTTTATTATATACAAACAAGGATAAGAATATTGATGGTGGAGGAGAGAGAACTAATCGACAAATGGACCTACTGTTGATATTTTTTTACAAATCAGACAGCAACCAGAGTGGGAGGGTAAAGATTCATTTCACAGGGTTTCTACAAGTAAAAAATGAATGACAAACTACAGACATACATAAAAATAATGAAAACCTCCTACTGCTTATATGACACCATATACAGAAACAAAATTCATGTAATTTATATCGATATTAACAAACACAACTTTAAGGAACTAATGCAAAAAAAATTATTCTTTTTATAGTCCAAAATGAAACACTTTATAATAATTTGTTTTTTTTGCACAAATACTAAATATTTATAAAACTGTCTTTGTTCTTTTAAATAATGTCCTGATTTTTCTTCTATTTTAAAAGATGTTTATAAAATTAAACAACTTTCATTTGACTTTGCAGATAAGAGACATTATAGCTACTGCTACAAGATCCCAGACTGAATATAGAAAACTCATGGATGAAACATTACACCATTTAAGGAAGTTAAATCTTCCCCAAAAGCAAATTGAAAGGGTCAAAACCTGGTTTTCTTATACTTGGGAACAACAGCATACTTTAGGTTTGTACATATATTTTAATCTTTAAGTTAAAATTTTATTTTTAATGGAATAAGTACTGAGATCTGTTGAAATGTGTAGTGAAGAAACATTGGAGCCTTAATAAATAACTCAAACATTGGTAATTAATAAACTACTGATTAATGTAATATCATTTTTTTTTACATTTATTTTATTTTTTAATAGAAAATTAAAGAATTATTAACCTCCCATGAGTAAGAGAGTGAGTTTTAAATTTAATTAAAATTTTTTTAAATATAATTTTTTTTCTAGAATATTTCTAAAAAAAATAAACATATTACAATAAATTAAATATATACCCTGGGAAAAATAAATTTGAACTGTTTAAAAAGAAAAAAACTGATTAATCATTTCAGATGAATCAAGAGTCTTAGACAACCTCCCACATAAAATGAAAACAGATGTTGCCATAAATGTTCATATATCAACACTTAATAAAGTGCAACTCTTTAAAGATTGTGATGAAGCATTACTTCGTGAACTTGTACTTAAACTGCGTCCAGTTTTATATCTGCCAGGTGATTACATTTGTCGAAAGGTAAAATATTTTCAAATACTTAAATATTTCCTTAAATTTCAAATAATTGAATTAATGAAGTGATTATGATAATCTGAAATAATTTCTGCAACTTTTAGAAGTTCTAACACTTTTTTCTTTAATTGTAATATATAGTGATCCAGATGAGGGTACAAGGATAAAATTCTAGTCAAATCTCATTCACCATTTTTTGGTTAATCCAAATCAAATCAATCATTGTTGATACTATCAAAATGTATACATATATGTATTCTTTTTTTTTTACCTCTTTTTATACTGTAATCAGAGAACTTAAACCAGGCATTATAAAGAAACCTCTCAACAAGTATTTGCATAAGCCACTTTATTTGTAATAAAGAGAGATGAATTATTATGTAACATTTTAGCAAAAATATGGATTTACAAACATGTAACATGATATATTATAAAATATAAAAATTTTTCAAGGCTTGTAATAAAGAAATAATCTTACCCTTTATTTTTAAAACAATGATGAATTCAAGTCACTCACAGTAGATTACAATTTATTTAGAGAAATCAACACAAACATAAAAATTGCCGACAGATCATTTCGTTAATGGGTAAGCCATGATTGTGGAAAAAATGAATATATTCATTACATGGTACCTTATAAGAAACAACTTTATGAGAAACTGTAAATCTTTATCTAATCAATCAGTTAAATTTAAAAAGTTTGTCAACAATATTTATTTATTTATTATTTTATTAACTATAGTTATACTATATTCAGTGAGTTGGAGACAAGTAATCATTAATATTTTAGTTCATCATTCATCATAGTAATCATTAATATTCCTAGGTTTTTAAAGACAATCGGTTCAAACAAAAAAAACTATGTTGAAGAGCAAAAAATCAAAAATATTTTCTATCCAGTATTTATAGGTCCATAGTTAATTCTAATTAATAATAAAAGAAATGTAATCTTTTTTTCAATTCATCATTAATAACAAAAATATTTTATTTGCCGATCATACCATCTCTTATTCAGATTTGTTTTACCTCAAATACACCCAGGCACTTAAGGGTTGATAAAAAAGATTTTACTGTACATGAAAAATGATTTAGAAAAAAATTACTTTTATAGAATTATTTTTATCTTTCTTAAGTAGTTTAATTGAATGTTTTTAAAAATGAATGGCTTCAACTTATAAAATGTCTAAGTGGTTTGGAAATGTCTCTTGCTAGAATTAGCATAATCTCCCCTATTTGTTTAAATAGACAAACTTACTCTGTATTAATATTCTTATTAATTTCTTGTATTTTGTTTATTTATTTTTAGGGGGAAGTAGGGCGTGAAATGTATATTGTAAAATCTGGACAAGTACAAGTAGTGACTGGCACAGATGGAATTGAGGTCCTGGCTACACTAACTGAAGGATCTGTTTTTGGAGAAATAAGTCTTCTGCAGGTGTCAGGAGGCAATCGAAGAACAGCTGATGTCAGGTGATTCAGAATAATTTGTTTAATTGATTTTATTGATTAAAGTAATTAAATAAATGTCTTATGTAAATATAGGTAAAGGCTCATGTACACAGAATGTGATCTGTCCCAGTTATATTATTTTGTCTGTAGCACTGCAGATTATCGCACTCTGTTTGACTGTGATTGTGGAATCGAAATACCACAATATCGTCAAAGTACCAGGCAATATCATATCACTAAGACATCTTGTGTTCTGAAGTGGTCCTTTAAACCCTTATTATTATTATTATAGAATTTCACACTTTCTTGGCTTTTGCTAGAAATATCCACCAATCTGGACCAAGGCCAAGGATTAGGCTCAAATATTAAACTATGTTTAAAAATTTTCTGACTATATTCGCCATGCCGAGGAGAATAGCTTTCTACCTATCTTCAAATATTTTTTCTAACAGGTTCAAATTCTCAATAGACAAGATGGTATTGTCTGGGATGAGGCCATTGCTGGAAATTACTACCAGAAATACCTGTGTATGATCCAGCCTATAGAGTTGCCAAAGTTCCAAAGATATCATCTTTCCGACATTATCATCAGTAGAGACCACAATATCAATGATATATTCAATTTTTGTATTTTGGTCAATTAAGTCTTTACCAGGTTTATATCTTACTATCATGCGATCGTTAATTATAAAACGATCCCAAAATATAGTTCTATTTTCACCAGATAATACCTCTTTGGGTTCATATCGATATAAGGAACCTGGTCAGTTATCATGCTATACAATGAGGCAAGAGCTTGGCGCATAATCTTGGCCGGTTATTGTGCCTCATCAGGTATTCCTTACCTGCCAACACTTGAAAAACAATGATATATGCTGGATTGATTCAGTTGCATTTTTACATAGGCGACATCAGTCACTTCTGTGTTCTTTGCATATGTATTTCCTATAAGCATTGGAGGAAATTAATTTGATTCTAAATAGCCAAAATAAATCCCTCTGTTTTGGGAATCAGATATCTTTATTAATCCAATTAATAGAAGTATTGAATTATAATGAATCGAATTGAAGAATGGTAAAAGCAATTAGGTGGTACTTTACTTGTTCATCTTTCAATCAGAGTTTTTTATGCTCATCATCATTATGCTCCGTTGAAACTAAGTTTAAGACTGTGTAGACTCCGTGACCTTATTGCTGATTATACATCAGAGTTACAGTATAGAAAAGTGCATCTTAAATTATTTTCCTGTTCTCTGCAGCTTATTAATAAACATTTTAATAATAATTATTATTATCAATATTATAATTTTGTTTTTTCTCAATGGTTGAGTAACTGATATGAGAGACATGTCCCGCCACCATGATATATTTTGTTTAATACATTTTGAAAATTTTTACAATTTGTGATGTGTCCAAGAGAACTGTTTGCTGAGCCTCTCTTTGCACATCAAGAGATAATTCCACACTATCTGTTCTTGCCATTGTTGATCTTCTTATTAGCCAATTAGTGGATATTATAATTAATATGGTTGTAACGCTTTCCAAATGATACAATTCCTTCAATTTGATAGCCAGCTCCTGGTATTTTCTAAGTTTCTCTCCCGCAGTAGAGCTCATATTATTGCCATTTGGGATCCTGACATCAATATCAGTTTTGATTTTTTTCCTTTTAAATCTATAAGGAGGATGTCAGGTCTGTTATAACATACAGTATGGACAGTAATGACTGATTCATCCCAATAGAGCTTGATAGGACCTTTCTGAAAGAGCCTATTTGGGTGGTAATTATAATATGGCACCTTATCTTCTAATAAGAAGAACTTCACCACTAGAGCCTGATAAAAATTTTTTGCCACATTGTTATGCCTCTGAAGATACTCAGTATCAGCTAGCACTCCACATCCATCTGTGATATTTTGGATATCCAGTTGGATATATTTATCCAGTTTTGTTGCATCTTTTAGAACATGTTTTTTATATGATTTGGTGGCAATAACCTGATCCTGCATGGCGATCAAAAACCCTTCTGTTTTGGAGAATATCTTTCCAACTTTTAACCATTCAACTGATCTTTCCTTGTCAATAGAGCTTTCATTCAATCAGCTGTAGAATCTCTGAAGCAGTGTTTTCCACTCTGTCAACTGTTCTTACACAATTTTAGTCATCATGTTAGCTCAGATTAAGTACAGTTAGACTAGAATCCTTTTCTTGAAATTGCAAGATAACCCCTATTATTTTCAAGAGAAAGTATTAGTGTAGAGGATACTTCTTGGCCACACTCTGATTACTCCTGCTTACGGCAAACTTCTTCAATATTTAGCAATTCACATCCTCCTTCTTTCCTAGGTAAGTAACCTTTACTAATAAAGGCTTACGCTTTTAGAATATTGGGTGGTGGGTCCGTTCTTGAGTGAGAATTGTTCCCGTAAGAAGATCCATCTTCTGTAGACTGGTGTTTGACCACTGTAGTATGCGGAAGGTATAACTGAAAGCAGTTATAACTCAGGTATTGATGGCCTTGATTATATGATTCCTAGTTAGCTCAGTTTTGAGCATTTTCCGTGAAATATTTATATAATTTATTGGCTTTATGTTCATTGAAGTAATCTTCTTCATTGATCATAATATTCTCCATACTAACCACTTTCTCCTAGCTAACATGGAGTACCACACATTTATCAAGGTGAAATGACATTCCCATGTCAATAGTAAAATATGAAACAGCTTGACCCATATTTTGTAACTGTTCTTTATTTTTTGCTAATAGCTTGAGGTCATCCATATACCAGCTGTGGCTGACTGTGGTAGTTTTGTCGTTGTTGATGAGTTTGTATCTCACTTTATTTCTTTGAAATATCCGGCTTAATGGGAACAGCATCATACAGAACAGTGGTGAACTTCGACAGTCCCCTTGGTATATTCCTCTCAACATTTTAATTTGGTTGACAGTGCAGGTAGGACCGATTTTCAATGTATTTGCCAGCCTTTCATTAGGTTTAAGTTGCTGGAAGTCATTCAAAGAAAGAAAATTTCTAGTAAGTATTATTCTAACGTGATCACTGAGTCTGTGTGTGCTTATCTTGCTCTCTGGAGCAAGTTGACTCATACGAGTAACTCCATAAGCAATTCAGATATCCTGTTTTCTCTGTTTCAACTTTTGTTGCCAAGTAGTATGTCTGTATGACAGCCTTATTCATAACTGGCACCCATTTCATCCTCTTTGCTTCTCATTGTTGTCAACTTTGTGTGAATGGAGAATGTTTCTCCTCAAAGCTCAAACTCAAACTGTTGGCTGGTAAACGTTTTAGTCTTGTAGTCCTTTATAACCACTGTTCCTGTCTGATCAGGGTCGTCTGAGCTTCAGTATCAGGGTCTTCTGAGGCCAATCTCCTATTTCTTAGCTCCATATTTAAAGGGTCAGTGCATTTTATACCTTCCTGCCAACTGATTTAAGCATTGGAAACAGACACTGTCCAGATAGCCACCCAATTTGGGAACCATTGCACCTGGATTTTACTAGTTTTGGTCTGTGCTGGGTATTTTATTTTCCTGGAACCTACCATATCTGGTGGAGTATTCCCTTATCCACCACCTGGAGAGGCACTCAATGGGAGAATATCAACTCCTCACAGGTTATTATTATTAATATTATAATTATTGAATAAAATATTTCATTATTTCTAAAGAACAATTAGCTTATTTAGGTTATAAGCTAATTATTTTTCTCTCAATTGAAACATTTTTTTTTTCATTTTATTGAATTCATAAGAACAATAAAATTTCAGATCAAATGGATTTTCCAATTTATTTGTCTTAAATAAAGATGATCTTAATGGAGCTTTGAAGTTTCATCCCAATGCACAGGAGATTCTGAGGAAAAAGGCCAGGTAATCTGAACCTCCTTAGGATTTTCCACAGATCCTAATTACTTGAATGGTGATTTATTATTTTGTGTATTAAGATTTTAATTGAAATTGAATAGTTTAATAAAAATAGCAATTTCAAATTGATTTCATTAATTTTTTTTTAGACAGTTAGTTAAACAAAATGCAGCTAGAGAGCAAATGACTAAGGCAAAAGCGGAAGTTGCTGCTGAAGTCTTAATTGGTAATCCTGAACCAGGTCCAAAACAGCCGAGGCTACTGCCAATTGTTATGAAAGTGAGTTTTGCTACAGATTTATTATGCTGCACTATTCAAATGATCAATAAAGATAATTAAAGAATGTCAATTATTTTTTATTTTTCTTAATATCAATAATCTTACGAGACTATTTCATAAAATTTGTATAAGCTAATAATTATATGAAACAATAACGGAAATGAATAAATAACTGAAATATTACATTAAATTTTAGGTTTTGCCACCAGAATCTGGATCTGCAAGGCTCTTAAAATATGGATCTCGTTGGGGAAGAAAGAGAAGATTAAACACAACAAACAGTGCAGAATCTGCTCCAATTTGTTTGGTAAGTTTTAAGAATACATATTTTTATTCACTATTTTAAATTATGTTCTAAGCATCTATAGTAAATTCAGATCCTAATAAATATGAACACATGCAGATGTGACAGTGAACTTTTTCTACTATAACTTGCATGGGAATGAAAGATCCAATTAAGTGTAGGTGATAATAATAATAATGATAATAGAAGTATTTGGCCTTTTCTTGAAGACATATTTTTTAAAAAATATAGAAAGCATTTATGATGTAATTTCTTATTTCAATTGAATCCCAATAAGACATTGGAAGATATTGCGGCCTCATAGGGAGTTAATAAGGATAAGTCAGGACTGATGCCTCAAGGAGTGACCAAATATTATCAAGGTCTACTATAATAAAATTTAAACTAAAAATATTCAATGAACAAAGTTGTAGATAATACTATTTTAAAACCAGAAGAAACAAATAGACATGGTTCTTCATAATAAATAACCATAATCATCAACAGTAAAAAAACTCCAAGAGTAAGAGAACTAATAATATGGGTTTTCTTCTTCTTCTTTAATAGTACAATGCCCACAGATCCTAACCGTAATCCTGATATCCTTGATTTCTTTATCCACAGTGGCTTAGGTCCCCTCAATTGTTCCATTACATATCTAAATGAATGTTCCTCTGATCATAGTCCTCTAATTCTTAATGTTTCACTTGAAAACATTTCCAAACCTTCTCCACCGTCATTTATCAGGGCCCAGTTGACTGGGATCTTTTCCGCCAAATTGTCTCCGATAAAATTGATCTCAATATATCCCTAAAAACTCTTGATGATCATAGTGCTGTAAATTCCTTTACTACAACAATCCAACAAGCTGCCTGAACTGCCTCCACTCCAAAAGATTCCCCAAGAATTACTAAAAAGACCATTCTACCTCATGCAAATTTTTTTTTCTAATCCTCTCCACATCTTGCATGAAGTTTGAATCTGGAAATACCTTATTGCTTTCTCCAGTGCATGTTAAAAATCAGGCATACCAGGTCATCTCTTTTGTTCCCTTCCAAAATTCTGATAACCTCCGACCTTGTACGTGGACCACTCATTTAATTTTTTCTTTTATTAATTTTTGATTTTTTTTCTTTTATTTCCTACTTTGCCTTTTCAGGTATACAGGGTTTTTCCTAGGCCAGGGGACAGAGTGGAAAATTAATGCCAAATTTAAATGCCCTCCTGTGCCAGGGAATCAAACTCCTAATCTTTAGATCATCAGGTTATACTAGACACTGTGTGTATGCCTATGTGTGTGAGGTCATGATGGCCGAGCATGTTAGAATATTGCCTATATCAGCATTCTCATGCCTAGCAATGGCAGTTTAAATCTCATTTGAATATGAGTCAATGCCAAAGAAGGTGATATATGACAAACCAGATTCAGAGGGAGACTGAGACTGAGATGAAAAGATGTGGAATTGGAAGGCATGGAAGACAATCTGAAGCAGATGATAATGAGAGGATGGTGAAGTAGGAAGTAATGATGACCAAGCATGTCAAAGTGTAAACTTTAATATTCTTAAGTCTAACGAGAATACTAAAGTTTGAATCTAGCCTGAGTGGGTTAAAATTTATTTCGTGGCAGACCCACAGAATGAATCTCAACCTTTCCACTCTGGCTAGAATAGGTTTGGTTGTTTCTCTAGAACAACTACCTCCCCCCTCCCGTCCCTCGTTGCCCGGAAAATGCGAGATAGAGGTATTGAGAAAAAAAAAAATATGGTGAAAAAAGGCAGGCAGATAGGAATGACTGTCGATTCTAAGTAAGGCCAAACCCCAATTAGGGCTGCAGTACTTTATTTAGTTATGCTCTTCCCTGCCACAGAGTTGGACATTAGTAGGTTGAAAATTCAAATTTTCTATCAGAATTTTAAACATAAATATAATTTTATCTGATTAAACATTCAAATAAATGTTTATTCAATTATTTAAAACTAAAATGGCAATGGATAAAAAATTAGTCACGTGAAAATTTATTCAAATAAATATTGAATTAAATAAAAACTAAATAACCTCAAGAATTGAAAGCCTTAAAGCACTAACACTTCCAGAAGATTTTTTTTTTTTAATGTCTGTTTTATCAAAGTACTGAATTCCACAGTTCAGAATTATTGATTTTGGCTTGACTGCTTTTATTATTATTTTTTTTTTGTAACTTTTTTTCATATATGATTGAATATATTTCCTTCATAATAAATCTATTAAGATAACAATAATGTAAAAACATTAAAGAAATTTTTCATAGTATAAAATATAACTAATATTATTTATTATATTTGAATATATATTATTAATTTTTCATTTATATACTTGTGGTAACCATTTACAGAAACAAAAGCGTTGCAGTTCAATTGATCTAGGATACTTAGGCAGGAGTTCAAATCAGTTGGGGAAACAAAATACAGAAAACACATTCCAATGCAGCGTAACTGTTCATAGAGAAATGTCAAAATAGAATAATTAAGCTATGGTATAAATCATAACATATAAATATATATATAAATTAAAAAAAGATATTTTTGTTATTAAGCTGTCATATAGTTTATATTCAGGATATTATTTTTTGTATCAAATATATATTTGCATAGGAATAGATTTTATTTTAGTGTATAGTTTATATAATATTAAAGTATAGTACTCAGGTGAGATATTTAGTACTATTTAAGGCTTATGAAGTTAATCACCTTAGTTTTCTTCAGCTTTTATTTTTAAACTTACAGAAAATCATTAATAACGTAGCAATAAAAAATTCATTATTATATTGTGTTAAAGTAAAAAATGAGAAAAATCACATTGTTTAATTTAATTTATTTACCATAGTACTCCATGCCCACCTTGTAGCAAAATGTCAAATCTGAACTGCAACCGGAAGACCGGAATGACTAATGTCATTTTTATTAATTTAAAGCTTTGTTAGACATATACATGTTACAGTAATGAATATTTATAATCCAGAGTTTACATTGGGAAAATTCACATTCCTTATTACATTTTGTTACTTATACATTTTGCCAACGATATGGACAGTCAATTTTTTATGTAACATTAATAAACTGAAAGTCAATAATGACCCTAGTTGTTGACATCTTTGTATCTATAGCAAAATAAATAAAGTAAGAATGAATGCAGTAAAACATTTATTTTTTTAATCATAATATTCCTAACTGGTTTTTATATATCATTCTAACTACTAACCACTAATTTCCTACTTTCCTGCCGAATATCGAACCATTGTTTATTTAAACTTTTTTGTATTTCTTGAGTTCTGCTATCACTCATTTAAATATTTCCCTCTTCTTACAGGAGACTCTGTATATGGATTTAGATATGTAAAAAAAAAGAAATTGCTAAGAGGAGAAAAATTTTGACAGCCAAAAAACTCAGATTTATCTGAGTTTTTTTTTTCTCATGTATTACTAATATAGAATACATCAAAGCAAAAAACATAGTTTTTAAGACATTAAAGAACATCAAATTGTGCGTCGAACGAGCACCTAAACTTAATAATTTGATTAAGTGATATGGTCGATAACCATTGTCAATGGACCCTAATTTTTACCAACACTGTCAAAATCTGAGACACATTACTATAAATGGCCCTGCAGCTTGGAAATGAGTTCGCTAAGAAAAGAGACTCAGAATAATTTCCGATTCCGATCATAATCAGATTTTGATCAAATTGGATACCGAATAATTAGTACCTTGCTTCATGAAAACGTACCCAACAACAGCTATTTTAAGAAAAGAACAACACTTTTTAATAAGGGGGAGAGGTATTTTGTAGTGCTCAAATAAAACGTTGTTTGAAACAATAAATGATGTTCATTTTTTAAAAATTAATTTACCTTCACCATGTATTTCACCTGTGAGACTCAGTTTGGAGTCAGTAGAAACAAACTGCGACAGGAGCATAAGCATAAGACTTCACGTCTCACGGTGGCCCAAAACCTGTTTCACTTCACTCTACGAGCCTATTATTGCTCTTACATTCTATTCTTTGTTTCACAAAATCTAGCCGTGTGCCAAAGTCCAGGCGCAAGTTGACCACAGCCAGGTTTGGTGTTATTAATCTAGCATGTTATTAACCTCTGGTAAGGTGACGTGAAACGACAATTCGTAAGATTAATTAATGCATTAAGTCATGATAATGCATTTTTTTAATATCGCATTAGAAAATTCGTTTATAAGGATGAATTTTCCCTGTATTTCTCTTTTCTTTAAATAGTTGTTTTTTGGAACTTTTTTGTACACCATCCAGGATTCGCTAGTACTGCTAAAACAATATTTTTTTAAATATATATTACATCAGAAAATTCATCTATGAGGATAAACTTTCCATAAATTTCTCTTTTTATTAAACAGCTGCTTAAAATATTAGTTTTCGAAAGGAAGGTCTTTCAGAAGATATTTGATCTAGTAAAGGAGAATGATGAATGGATAATTAGAAGCTACCAATAACAAGCCAATTTATACAATAAGCCAGATGTCGTGATATATATCCAGATTAAGCTGAGATCGGAAGGAGCGGAAATGGAAGTATGTGCTGATGCCAGAATCAGGAACAATTGGAGGCTGCTGGAGACAGAGAAATAAGAAGAGCAGACTAAGGTGAACCAAAAGCGTGTATGATACATATGCTGACCATCTGTGTTAAGATCTACAACCTAAAGTGGTGTAGATCCTTAGATCCTAAGATCTGACAATTTGATATTTGACTGCGGTATTCATTCTGCCAAAACTAAACTGGCTACCAAGAGCCATTACATTAATATTTATTTTTGAGCTTTGATCAGTATATGTTATCGCCATTAAACTTTATTATAAAAAGCATTTACAATGTGTATACATATTCCATTTATAATTTGAGTATTTAACAATACAACAATAAGAAATAAACGATACAATTTTAGTATGTTGCGCGGGCGAACTTGTAGAGCGCTGCATGGTAGCGGGAAGGCGAACGCGTTGTTTCTTGTAGCAAGAGCGGAAACCGCTACAGCGGGACCAACTCTGGTGGACCTCACTGGTAGGAATTAGAGAAAGGACTGAAAGAAACAGCTAAGGAAGTGATCAGTATTCAGGAGAAACGAAAACGACAACCAACCATAAGTACTGTTTAAAGATGGAGGAGAGGACTTAAGACAAGCTACTACAACTAATCCAGAAAATATGGGAAGAGGAAAGTATACCTGAAGCTTGAAATACGGGCCTAATCTGTCCTATCTTAAAGAAAGGTTCCATTTATGAGTGTAGTAATTACAAAGCTCCTTCTGGTTGCCTATAAGATAATGCCTAATACTCTACTAAACCGGATATATCCATATTATGAGAATATAATAGGCGACCACCAAACTGGATTCAGAAAAGGGAGGACCACGCTAGCCCAGATTTTCATCCTGTACTCGTAAAAATAGGGAAAGTAGCTCAGGACGTCTACGCCCTATTTGTCGATTTCAAAGCAGTCTATGATTCTGTGGACTGGAGCTGTGTTTGGAAAATCATGACTGAACTGGAAATTCCCGGTAGGTTGGTGAGATTGACATAGGCATGTACAAATGATCCCAAATGTAGAGTCCTGATACAAGGAGAAGTATCTGAAGCCTTTAAAGTTCGAACAGGCTTACAGCAGGAAGATGGACTTTCACTGATGTTGTTCAAATTAGCCATGGAGAAGGTAATAAGAACAACATTAAAGGAAAGGGTCCATGTCGGAATGAATAATAAAATCCTTGGATACAAAGATGATATAGCTGTACTCGGAAGTAATCAAGAAGACATTGAGAAACTCGCTACAACACTGATAAGAGAGGCAGAGGCAGATCGGCCTACAAGTAAATAAAGACAAAACAAAAAATATGATAATAAACCAAAAATTCCACACCAATAACAGGATTTGCTTAGAAGTAAAATCATTCCAGAGAGTATAAAAATTCAAATACCTCGGCTCCACAATTCCTCAATGAATGGCCCTAGCCATGTCAGCATCATAGAAAAAAGTGTTGAAAGATTTGAGGAAAATCCATGCACGATAACCGGAGTGATCTGGAATCAGAGTACTAGTACATGGAGAAGAAAAATCAATAAAGAACTGCTTACAGAAACTGGTCACTCAATATCCCATGATATAAAGGCATGGAGGTTAAGATGGGCTGGGCACATGTAGCTCACAGCAATCCATCTGGAAACCTTTACGTAACAATAAATGCCTCAATAGCAGGTAAAGGCCAGAAAGCAAATGTATAGATAGAATCAACAAAGATGCAACAGAGCTGCATGTAGATAAATAGCAAGAAATAGCCCGACAGGCAGAGATGGAACAGACTTGTTAAGGCGGCAAAAGATCCACATGATCTGTAATGCCAACAGAAAAAAAAAGAAGAAAAATCTGACATTTTTTAGTACCAAAGAATTTATTAACTACTTAAGTTGGTGGAGTACAATTAACTGAAGTAGTGATTGAATTCCAAATAGTGATTAAATTTGAGTAAAATACTTGGTACTCAGTACTCAGAGTAGCATTTGCACATCTCTGCTGTCAGTTAATGTTTATTACTTGGTGGCACTAAGAAATTAATTTGAATACTCCCATTCATTCTGGTAATTATGCATTTATAGGTAATTATACATCAACCTCTAAGTAGAAACTATCAAAAGGATCATTTTCCAAATTAGTTTCAATCACCACTACTATAACTCTCAATTCAGAAAATAATCCTTGGACTTCAAATACAAGAGAAAACAGGTGATCTCAATATTTTGTTTTGAAATTTATTTCAATAGAAATAAAATACAAAATACTTAAACATGAGATGAAAAAAAATCATTAATAAATAACAAATCATTCAATACAAGACATATATATTTAATTCAATTATTATACATTCTTGATTTTGCTTTATTTTATATTTTATTATAATAAATAATTTTAAAATTAAAAGTTGTCATATAATATGTATTTACAATATATACATTAGATATGATACAAAAAATATGTAATAGATAAATTATTTTATGAAAATTGCATTAAATTATCCACAAGGTTATTTAGATAATCACTACTATCATTCTTCACTTGTTGAACACTTTCCGGAGTTCCATAACTTTCTTCCAACTGTAACCATTTTTGATAAAGCGCCTTCATTTTCCTGAACGGTAAATTATGGTTGGTTGCACGTTCTAAAACATTCCTGAAATATTCCAAACAAATTTATTAAATAGGTAATTCATAACTATGATTCTTTCTGAAATTTAAATAAAATAAATAATAGTTCCAAAAGATCATTTTAAAACAAAAGTGTACATTTATTGTCCTTCAGTTTTAAAATTAAATAGCACTCATTGGTTAATTTTTGGTCCTAGTTAAAATGACAGAAAACAGGATGGAAAGTAATCATTTGTGTGGCCTATATGTAATTTTTAAAAAGAATGAATTTCTTCTTGGTCCATTATTGAACATAGATTTTTAAAACATCTAGAAATCTCTCCAAAAGCCTCTTTAATATTTTTAAAAATATGACATAATTTGAAGACCTTCCTATTTACATCACATGAAAGGTTTTGCACATTAAGTGTTTAATTTTTGAAGATAAATAGAACACGATAAGTCCACCAGTTAATATAAATGTAGTAGGTATCGATAACCTTATGAATGTCTTAGTATTCCTTCAATTTGAAATAAGTAGCAAGAACTTCTACTATTTTAACCTCAACAATCAAATATTTACCTGTAGTTAGTGCTGAATGCTAGACTTCTGGACAGGTTGACTGAAGCGATTTTTAAAACATCAAAAATATAATATAGGTATATATAATGAATATATATGATTATATTAGGATTTCATTCATCTCTCATGAATGTAACGAAGTTTTTCAAATCAAATATTATGCTTTGTGAATTTTGTCTAGTTTTAAAATTAAGGCTTCGTTATTGTGGTTTTGTAAACATTCCATTTTGTGCAAGTGTATATCTAATTATAATAAGAGCTATGTAATATTAATTGAAAAATTTCATAACCTCTGGAACTCATGAATGTCATGCAGTCAATGACAAAAGTTTGCCCTCAGAAGAGAACTTTGCACTCCTCTTTGCATATTAGACATCAAGGAAAATATTTATTTCCATGTATATCAGTTTAGAGTCAAAAGTTTAAGCCATTTCATACATACGGATTTCTTTTCCATTTTTAGTCAAAACCGTATAATAGCTGTAACATTACTGATAATCCAATTGTGATAAAATGTTTCAGGATAGAGTGGGTTGGTACCTAGATGGTCCCGTATGATTTTTATAGAATTGCATCCACTTCTTTTGCCTATGTCTCCGCATATGTATTTTCTATAACATGCAGATATTTCTAAAACAACTTATCTGATTTGGTCCCCAGTTAAAAGAAATTATCTACAAATGCTTCATGATTAATTTCATCAAATTCTATCAGATACGTTTGCTGATACATGCATAAATACATTTTATTAGTCGTATATTTAGGTCTTGAAGATTGAAAATAGCAAAAACTCACGAATATTGAGCTACATCAGGTTGGCTACCAAATTGCCAGAGTAAAATTCCCTGACTTTTCCCTATTTAATGAAAGTTTTCCCTGACCAATATGTTAGGGGACACAAATGTTAAAATTGTATAGTTTATAACTAATTAGTTTATAACTATAACAATATATATATATAATTTATAACTATTAAATTCATCATAGATGATTGAAAATTGAAAGATTGGAGTAAAAAAAAGTCTGTTTAGTCTTTTAAAAACTAATATAATGCTCTAGAGGAAGCATGTTTTAAACTTGATTTAACACACAGTTAACACACGGGAACACAGTTTATGACTTTGGTAGATTGTTTGGACTAGTAAAGAAGTAAACATACGAAAAGTCCCCTCTCCTAGATGGTGAGCCAGGTAGGTGCGGGGGGGAGGGGGGAAGGAGGCCCCTAGGTCACTTTTTTTGAGGTTACACTTATAGCAGGAAAACTATCCATCGCACCGGCAAAGACCTTCTATACATAATTAAAGCTGCTAAAATTTTCAATATGATTGATTATATACGTTTCTTTGCTACTTCCCTTAGTTACAGAGATATCTATCTACAACTATGGCGAATTTTGTAAATAAAAAAAAAAAATTGCCTCCTGTTTATTGCTGTTTCACTTATATTAGGAAACTATCTATCGCATCGACAAAAATGTTATATAAAAAATTAAAGCTAATAAAATTTTCAATATCATTAATTATCTACCATTTTTCGCTATCTCGCTTAGTTTCCGAATTATCCGTCCTTAATTATCGCTAATTTGGGAAAAAACAAATGTTATCTCATGTTTTTTACTGTATTTGACTAGCTAACTCTTGGCTACTTCATTCTACGATTAGGTCATGGGAACGAAAGTTTTTAATTTAAATTTAAATTTTCGTCGAGAGTCTATATAATTTTACTAGTTTATCGTCAACGATTCAAAAGTTAATTTTCAGAAAAAAATTATTTTTATAATATATCTTATTGTATGTATGTATATGTATGTACATACGTATGTATGTATGTATGTATACATACATATAAATATATGCAATAAGGTATATTAGAAAAATAATTTTTTTATTATATATTATATTAATTTCACATATTACACTATTATAGATATAACGCATAGTTTCACTGATATAAGCAAAAAACCGTAAGAAGTAAACTTTTTGAATCGTAAATTCAATTTTTCGACTTGGAATCTACGAGTATAGTAAAGGTGTCTATCGTTCACCGGTATAAAAAAAAAAGTCTGCCAAGGAAGGTCAGTATAGCTTCCTCACCGTTTGTGGTGCTCGCTCGGGATAGAGGAGAGTGGCGAGGGATCGTAGGAGAGGCCCAGGTTCAGGACCGTAGCGCCAAGTATAAAAAAAAACAACCAAATTTAGGTCATTATAAACGACATTCACTGTATATTGATTCCAATTTAAAAAGAATATCTTTGAACTAAAAAAATTCCCTGAATTCCCTGACTTCAACAATTTTTCCCTAACTTTTCCCGGTTTGGAAAATTCCCTGACTTTTCCAGGTTTTCTTGGTCGGTCGCCACCCTGTAAATGTAATTGAGCTACATGTAATTAAGCAACCTAGGACTGTTTCAAATAGAAGGGTAACATGTACTATTATAGTTAAATTACGAAATTACTAAAAGTTACAATAAATAATGGATAGTGGTATATATGTACCGGAATCGCAATTCAAAAAACTACTAATTTCTCAGTGTAAACACCGTATGTAATTCAATTAAATGTTTATTTTTCATTCTACAAAAGAAAATGAAGTATAAATTGTATCTATAATTGTTAATGTATCACACTATAAAAATCTGAAAAAAAGTTATGTTAAACGGGGTTGTGAAAAGTGAGGTATGACTTAATTTCTTAACTGTTATACATCCTTTATTATTAATTCTAGTTGGTAACTATCAACAAACCAGACTACATTGTACGTGTGGGCGGGGTGGCCGAATGGGCTAACGCGTGTACACAGCACCGCCGTTGCCCAGTTACCTGATATATGACTCAAATAATATAACAACAGTCACGAGTTCCCGTCCTGGTGCCGGGGGGAGTCTTTCAAATCCCCGCCCATACCCCTTGGCCCGGGAAAATCCTGTATAGCCTTAACATTAACAGCAAGGAAGGGGGGGACCCAAAAAAAAAAAATAATAAAAATAAAAATAAAAAAAAAATAAAATAAAAAATAAATAAATAAATTGCATTGTACTTGGGGCTATGGGGACTAACTACTGTGGGAAAACTGACTCTAGTTCCTCAAGGGGAACGAGTTCCCTTAGCTTATGGCAGAACAAAACTACTCATACAACAAAGAATGTTTGTACAGGTGAAAAGCTACAGTAGGATCAGAGTTTCTACCTTGGAGGAAAAAGAGGAGTACCCAGAGGAGGGAAGCAAATACTACTTTGAGTATCGATTATTTTACTCAAATTTAATCACTTTTGGGAAGTCAATCACTATCGTTTAACATCAACTGAAGTAGTAATTAAATGCTTTGGTACTCAAAAAAAGGTCAGTATTTGGGTAAAATACTTTGTACTCAGTACTCGGAGTAGCATTTGCCCATATCTGGACCAGCCTATGCAGTTGGGACTAAGAAGAAGAAGAAGGCCATGCTTAAGGACCAACAGTGATGCTGGAAAGAGCCCAACATAAGACTTTGTATCAAGTGTTTATATATAAATGGAGCGGGGTAGCTCAGTGGTAGGGCACTGAGCTTCCAATGCAAAGGTCCCGAGTTCGAACCCCGGCTCGTGGCAGAAATTTTATTTATCTGTTTCATGGGCCGTGGGGCGACCTTGGGTCAGAAGTCCCTCCTGGGGCACACCCAGCCTCTATAAAGTGGGTACCCTTAATTGAATAATTAATTAAGGGGGAAAACCTGGCGGTTGAGCGTGATCTCGGTCAAATCACCTCCTTGCACAACCGTTGACCTAGAAACAGTGCTTTCCCTAAATAGTACTGAACCCCAGATCCTTCATGGGTTGTAGTGGTACAGGTTTATATATAAAGTGTTTATTATATAAACTTGAAGTTTATCAGTTAATAAAGCCAAAAAAGCGAACATCAATTAATATTTAAAAAAAAAAATAGATATCTTACCTTGCTATATCTGCTAAGCCAGATTTGACCAGCATATCAACATAAACAAACCAAAGATCAACCCTTTCAGAATAAGAAGTGAGAAGGGTTTCAAATAAGGCTTGAGACTTTTCAGGAAATCCATACTGATTCTCAATCAGTGCAAACCTGGATATTAGATTATAATCTGAAAAGAGAAACATACATATTAAAAAAAAAATGTGTATTTTAATTTAATTACAAGAAAGTAAACCATGGAACTCATCAAGTAAAGGAATATGTGACCTTGCTCATGTTGAAGTTCAATAGAAATTAAAATAGACCAAAAGTTACTTACGGGTTTTTGGTGGAAGTTCCTTCAATGACTTCTGTAAGTAATATCTTGCTTTGTCGTACATTTCGTTTTCCATTAGTGCTGACTGACATTTTAACCAGCAATCAGGGTTTTCCTTAAATTTCTTGGTAAGCATATACGTAAGCTTTTCCAACTCCTTCAATCATAATAAAAAAAAGTGTAAAAAAAAAAATATAATTCATTGTACAAAAACATATTATTTATGAAATCAAAAATTATGCATAATGAAATCATATAATCCTATTCTGTAAATAGCGCAAACTCAACAAATGTACTTTTTTAAATCAAGACATCAACTGATAAATAAAAATAGTGGAACATTTTAAAGATGTTTTATTAAATATGCTCTCTTGAAAGATAATGAATTATTGAATTCAACAATGGTATGAAGTAATATAAACTCTAAAAAATAAATAAAGGAGGCAATTAAATCTTTTTTGACAAATGTAAAATTGTGAAATAATATTAAATACAATTGGAACTTACAATAAATCTTTCATTTACTGATTACTAGAAACATCCTAAATAAATTGCTTCATCTATAATTATATTTCAATTTAGTTTCATTTAACCATTTTGATCAACTAGGCATTGCTGTTAATAAAAATTAAATGATACTTGCATATACAGAGAGAATGTTTACGACATTAAATAACCTTTATAATGACATTTATTAGAATATGGAATTAGCCAGTTAGAACCAAAGTGATTTATTGAAAATCAACATTAATCAAAAGCAGATTTTTACTACCAATTTTATTAAGAAACTGTTGAAGATTTCATATATCCATATCAATCATATAACATCCTAACCAATGGAAAACACAGACACCAAAAGTTTTATTTGCAAGTAATATGAGCCATAATAGATAAACATTTGGAAAAAAAAAAACTCAATGAATAATAAATTCACCATGATCATTACCTGCTTGTTATGTACATGGTTATTGATATGGAAGATCAAACGAAACAAAAAGTAAATCCTGAAATAATACTCAAAATTAAATCGTATAAACTGAAGAATCCAGAAGAAGCTAAGCTAAACAATAGCAAAAAGTAATTAAAGAAAAGGCTCTCAAATACCACCAGTGGGATAGCCAACAGGTGGAGGAAAGTTGGCAATAATTGAAGAACATAATTCTAGAGATAGCAGAAGCAGAATGTAGAATAATCAAGATCGACAATTGAACGAAAAAGAAAGCTTGGTGGACTGAAGAGGTAAAAGAGGAGATTGAAAAGAAAAAACTAAAATGGAAATTCAGGCTCTACAAGAAACAGAGAAAAAAAAAAACAAAAGAGGTTGTAACTGCTGCAAAAAGAATTCAGCAGCAAAACAGAAGAAATTTTCATGAAAATCAAAAATTATTTTACAGAACTATCTGAATTATGCGCAAAGAAAAAGAAGATAAGCATGGGAACATTTTTAGCAACCAACACATCATGAACAGATGAGCCGAGTACTTTAAGGAACAACTAGAAAATGACAGCAGCCAACAGGAACAGATAGAACAGAGCCATCTGTTACAAATAGTCCATGAAGAAGAGTACAATTTCATAAATGAAGACGGAATTGAAATCTTATCAAGCCTCAAATTAGGTAAAGCAGCGGGGATAGATGGCATCACACCAGATTTTATGAAATTTCTTACCTATATTGGATTATTATTGGAAAAGTTCCAAATAATAATTCAAAATTCAAAATAATCATGTATCTGTCTCTTGATTATTTTGTTACTAATTTATAAAAACTCATAGCTATATTTAAAAAAGGAGGTAAGAGAGAGTGTCAGAATCACAGAAGCATATCCATCCTTAGTGTACCAAGCAAAACGTATTCCGAAATCCCAGAAATACGTCTCTGAATGCAGTGGAACTAATACTAGCAAAAGATCAGTATGGATTTAAAAGAAACAGAAGCGCTCAGGATCTTATCTTCTCGTTAAGGTCATAGAAAAATATAAGCAAGTCATTACCTGTTTTGTCGATCTCATGAAGGCCTTCGACAGGATTAGGAAGAAAGACATTGTAACAGCACAAAAGGAGAAAAATGTCGATTTGGGACTACAGAAAGGAAAAGTCTCTACAAGAAATAGTGTAATGTGGTGAGGCCAAGTAACCACACATCAAGAGAATTTCAGACTACTCAAGGAATCAGGCAAGGATGGAGCCTGAGTCCACTGCTTTTCATAATAACACTGGACACGAACATGAACAGAGCTAAATCAAGGATAAGACCCTAAAACTTACTATACAGAAAACTTAGGCCCAACCAATTTGGTCTTCTTGCCTTCACGGATGATTTAATTTTGTTTGCAAACAACTGCAGGAACATCCAATTCAACATAAACGTTCTACAGAAAGAATTATAAACTACAAATATGACAACCAATACAGCAAAAACAAAGATTATGAGAATAAGAAGGAAAGCCAAACATGGGGATCAAACGGTAAGATTTAACCATACCAGGTTAGAGAAAGTAAGGAATTTTAAGTAACTAGGTGCTCCCCTGAACCAATATGGATGGATAGATGATGAAAAAAATAAAAGGATAAAAGCTACCAGCAGATGTTTCAATTCTCTTAAGAAAGGTTTTATAAGGAAAAAAGAAGTTTCAAAGAACACAAAGAAAGAATTTACAAAAACATTTTCTAACTGATTTTCATTTACTCAAGTGAATCTTGAACTTTCACCACAAAACACAAGAGACAAGTTGAAACTATGGAGATGTGGTACTTAAGAAGAATGGAAGGAAAGACAAGGAGAGAGCGAGTTCAGAATAAGACAATGAGGAACACTAGCTGAGATTGTTCGGCCATGTTGTTGAAATGTAAGATGACAGGTTGGGAAAGTTGTGTATGAAATAAAGATGGAAGGGCAGAGCCCAGAGGAAGACATGGGAAGCCGATACGGGATGCCTTTGACAGAAGAGGATTGGAATGCAGAAGTAGAGGATGGATGGTGGAGGATAGAGATTTTTGGATCCAGCTCTCCTGAAGGGATCTTCACACTGCTGTGGGGTAGAAGAGGAGATTAAACAAATAAATATATCGGCTAATAGTTCTTTACAATGCAATGGTTATATTTGGGCCAGAAACTGATAACAAAATATTTTTGCTCTAAATAAAGATTAATGATAAAAAATATTTCAAACATAGAAGACTTTCTAATATTTTTTAAAGAATTGCGAAGCTAATTTGGAATTTTTAGAATAAATAAAAACATAAATGGGCACAATCAATTAATTATTTTAGCTAGTAATGTTTGTAATGGATGGTCATAGAGACCCTAGAGACGTCTGTGGTTACTACTACCAGCAGAGAAATGAAGAAGGAACCAATAAACCTTGGCAGACTTCAAGAAGACATTTGCTTTGTAGAAAGAAAGAATGAAAAGTAAATTTTATTCTGGAAAATTTAGTCTCCTCATAATAATTACAATGAACAACAAAATGACAATTGCCTGGCACAAGAATACAATAAAAAATAAATTAATTTACAAAGTAATCTAATCCTAATATCAAAATAAAAAAAAGCAGTAGTAGACATATGAAATTAAAGATAAATACATAAGAGTAAGTTCACGTATTTGTACAAGTAAGCAATATGGATAATACATAGATATCTGCAAGATATTAGTAAAATGTAGCTGACATCTCTAAAATACAAAATAACATTATTTTTACATATATTTGGAATATCGATGACTGATGAAATGGAAAAATAAATGAGGATTTCTGTATGGAGGTTGGTATGGAATTCCAAAACATGGTAGCATGTATGACGAAGGTTTTTTTAAAGGAAAAAGTTCTATGAGAAGGAATAAACAGGTTTGAGGGCTGGGATCTCAGTGGTGTAAAATGAGAGAAGAAACTAGGACCTGACAGATTTTAAAGGACGTAGAGTCACGGAATCTTAGGAACTGTTTGAGGGTAGCTATGGATTTTCGGATAATTTGAGCAATATGGGTTATTCAAGGACAGATGTTAATCAAACATTACCCCAAGATTTCTTATGGAAGTGTGGAAATGTATGGGTAGCTCATTGTAAGTCTGTTTATAATTTTGTATTATGTAATATTTTTGTTATAATCATGCAAATACTGGTTGATTGTAAATATTATAAATAAATTTTAAAAGAAAAAGATGTTCTAGATGAACTTAAATATACTTTTGAAATGTCTCTCAAAGACAATTTCATCCTGAATTAAATGCGTCAGCACTTAAAAGATATTGGCAATTCCTTGAGCGAACCTCATCCAAGACATCTTTACAGGAAATAAGAAATTTATCTGAGGTAGTTTCGATTCTTGTCTTTCCTCATTATTTTTGCATATCGCAAGTTCAGGTAGCTGATTCTCTTCAGGTTGCAGTGATGTCAGTAGACTGTACCTCCCGTTTATTTCCTCCATTCTATTCCTTTTCTAGTACCTATCATAATTCCTATCTTTATCTTACCTTTATAAATTTATGAGAACATGCAGTATCGGGGCCGTCCAGAGACTATAGATACCACCTTAACACATGTCTAAAAGAGGGTTGATTTAAAAAAAAAAATTATTTAAAACTAAAAATGATTCATACCGTCTTATTTTTTGTTTCAGAATACAAATCCAGAACTTTTCCATAAATTTCATATTCGTCATTTACTTTGAGTGCTTCTGCTAAACATTCTTTGAACTGTTCCTGAAAGAAGAATAGAATATAACTTTAAAGGGAATTAAAACTGAAATAAAAGGGGAAAAAATATATGACTAGTAAAAAATTACTAACAGGTGTGCCATATGAGTACTCAATATTTAATAAGGCTATCCATATTTTTCGCCTTTCTTCTTCCAACTGAATCTCCTTCAAGGCTCTTTTAGCAACAGCTCGTGCCTTGTCTATTTCAGTTGCCTGAAAAAAACAAAAGACAATATGAAATAAATAATGTAAAAAATTAGTCTAACATAAACATTTGCTATCAATCCAGATTCCTAAGGATTTACTATTTTATATAAATATATATTGTAATGTACACCTGTATTGGAAGTGGGTAAAAAGGGTATAATAAATTAATGTTCAACAGTTAAAAGGCAAGCTAATCTAGTTCTACTAGTTCAGGGAAAAGAAAATAATTGCTCTGTAGTTTTCCCAGATAGGAAAATCCAAAAAGAGGAGAGGGGACGGACAAAGGATTTTGTTTGGGCAGGCAGTTGGTGTTTGGCTGGGAGAAGGGATCCTGGCTCCAATGGGTAAAACCCAGTAATAGTATTACCATCTTGGAAGTTGTGTTTGGCAGAAGATTGGGAAGCATTGGAAGACAAATGAATTTTGAGCAACAAAGGAAGAAATACTATCTATAGAAAAAAGGTTAGCTTGCCAATCCATTTTAAAATCTTGCCAACTTTATTTTAAAATCAAACAGTGTTTAGTATAATTAATATTAGTTTGTCTGAGTGTTTTGATCTGATTGTCAGTAACCCATACCTCAAATAGAATAATTGTAAATTTCAGTTTATTATATTAATATTCTTATAATTTTGTTTATTATTTAACCACCTCTTATTTCTTTTGGAAGTATCCCAATGGTATAAAGCGATCTTCCACGAGGTTTATTATTAGCTTAAAATATAAGAGATATGTTACAATATATAAACTATACCAAGCAACAACATTTATCTTAATTATCCTAATTATCTTATATGTTTACATATGTGCTGCCACCATAACTTCAATATAGAATCTTTTACTTTATTAAAATATATTTTAAATGTACTTAATGTATTTTACTTTATTAAAATACATTTTAAATGTACAAGAAGAATTCTTCAAAAGTACTACATCTGGAATGAAGTCTATTCAGTATAATTTAATATAACAACTCTAACAATTTTGATTAAAGTCGGTGCATCATTGCATAATTAAGTGGTGTTTAATATCATTTAGGTCTTATTCCCATTGATGTCACTTTACAGGGCTTAAGTAGCCAATGTTAAACATTTCTTCCTTTAAAGTACTTTTAATTTGGTTTATTTTAAATAATTAACTATCTCTCATTGTTAGGAGTTATGAAAAAATGCTAAATATCTACATTCAAAACCCTCCTATTCCAATTCCTGTCCCAAAAATAGTCAGATACCAGCTAACCTTTTATGTAAAATTACATATTATTTATAATAACATATTCACATATAGCTCATAACCTAAATACTTATTATAGATTCGACTTTTTTTTTTTTTCAACAGAAAAACAGATTTTACTGTTAAGAAGAATTTACATTTATTTTTTCTGTATTTTTTATTTTTTTTAAAAGGGTTTATTTATGTTTTAACATTGTACATAGTTTTAAGTATCTTAGGATGGTTTCAAGAGTTTTGTATATAGACTTTTTTATTTTATTTTGTATATAGTATGTATAACCAATATTTTTTTTTTTAATGATTTATCTTTATCTTAACTTTTTATGTTTGTTTTTATCTGGCCAGATATAAAATTTTAATTTCTGTACTTTTTTGTTATTCCGAAGGGATTTCGTCCCAGAATAATATTATTTTTCTATTCTATTCTATTCTATTCTAAATATAACTTTCAAAAGAATTTGATAGTTCAATAAAAGAGGAATATTTATTCATTTTTGAAAAAAAAAAATGCCTATTTAGCTTGAAAATGAATCACCGGAAATAATAGTCAGGAGGTATACCTATAATATATATTGTTAAAAAGCAGAGAATTTCAGAAAAAAAAAATATCTAATATAGAAAGTCATAGAAGGTAATAGAGAGTAATGAAAAAATATAAATATCAATTTCTGAAAACCAATATTATTTAACAGAAATCACATGTTTTCAAGCAAATTAAATGAAATTTTTTAACTAAATTTAAAGTTTTAAAATTATTTTAAGTTTGAAAAAAAAATTATATAAAATCCATCGAATCAAAGCAATGACATTGTTTAAAAAAAATATTTCGTTGGACTTGTGTGAAAGAAGAAGTGAAATATCTAAAAATTATATCATGGATTATAAACCATATGTTTATAACCTTAAATACATTTACTGTAATTTAATAATTGTAGATCTGATATTATATTAAAATAATCAGGTATCAGTGTCTGTTTATTCTGAAAAGTCCTGTAACCTTTTAGAAAATTAAATTAGTAGATAATTTGATGAATTTTTTCTCTGTGAAATCCCAACATTGTCCACTTACAATTAGGGTGAAAACTTTTGACCTATCTATGACAGGCAATGAAAATCTCGTAATTTCATTTTAGTAAATTTACAATGGAAAAGAACATTTCAATAACTTATAGGCGTACAATCCATAATTATCTATAGTGTGAATATACAGATATACTTCTAAATCTTTCTAGGCATATATATATATACAGCTCAGTGACTGGAGTTATGTGGTTTTCAAAAACAGCTTTTTTTTTCCTATCATTGATATAATTAATAGGGCATTTGTTATTTTAATGGTGTTAATGATGGTGCAAGCACTTAGTTTTAAGTTTAAAAAATTTAAAATAGTCCAACATTGTCAGAAAATAATTTCTATTCAAAGTAGAGCGCTAAGTGAAAGTTGTAAGTTGCGAGGACCAGATTTTTTTTATGTAGTACAACTAAAAAAAAAATTTGGTTGAAATTGGTGACCCTATGTCTATAAATTTTCCTGGTAAGTACATGATGTTCTGATTTTACAGAGAAAACCCATCAAATAATTTAGTGATTTAATTTTATAAAGTGTTACTTAAAGTATTTTTGCAATATAAAATATAACAAATAATGATAATGTATTGAGAAATTTATTTAAGAGAAAATTTCTTACTTCCATCTGGTGAGCTATGTACATAATCCATAACTTAGTATTGTTGGGATCGCTAAGGAGTAATCTCTCATAATTTTCAGGTGTCTGAGGGTTCTGATCAGCCTGCAGCAATTCATCATCTTTGAGCATGATATTTTTTTCAGTTTCTAAAGCAGCGGCTCGTTTCTCAGCAGGAGTCATTTTCTTTGGTAAAACATTTTCCTCATCAGAATCCTAAAATTCAAAATTATATAAATCTACTCATTACAAAAAAAAAATATATATATAGATGAAAATCAATAAGTAAATAAACCTCTGAAATTTCATCGTCTTCAACATTTTCTGAAATCACTTTTACTAAATCAGCTGGAGTAGCATCCAAGTTAAAACCAGCATCTTCTTTTTCGTCTGCATCAATCATAATCAAGTCTTGAGCGTTCTTTTTAACTGTTTTATTTATCTTATTTGTTTTTATTTGAATAGAATCGGCCATAATCTTAGTTTTTTTTGCAGAATTCTCATTAATTTCATCAGTAGAAGATGTGCTTTTCCTTTTTGTATTTTTCAATTTTTCTTCTTGGTTCTCTTTACCCTCACGTTCCAAGTTATCAAAATCGACATCTGTTTTAGCTATATTCATTTTGGAAGCAGAGGAAGTATCGCTACCTTCAACTGGAACTTTCTTTTTTTTTAAAGGAATCAGCAACCCCAATCCAATAGTTGATTTTTTCTGAAGTTCGATCTAAAATATTTAAGGAATTATAAAGAAATAATTTCCAATTAAATAAATTGAATACTTTATTAAATAAAATATGTATAATATCTTAATGTTACTTTGCATGAGCTATAAGACTTCAGTTCATCTAAAACAATGTATTTTGAAATATTGGGGTTCTCTGTAGTAGGAACAAAAACTATTTGCCCACCCTTAGAGCATTCGAAGAATTTTACTATTACTTAAGTGGATTTGAAGTGTTCCATCTAAAGAAAGAAAAAAAATTTAAATATAACTATATTCAATTTCTGGGCTTATGCAAAAAAAGTAATCAATAACTATATAGCCATCAAAAGAGGCAATTGCTTTTAGTTGTTTTTTTTTTTAGAAAACTCAATGAACGAACAAGATGATAATAAATAAATGGCTGCTCTGTAGTTTTCCCAGAAGGAAAATCCCAAAGAGGAGAGGGGCAAAGGTTTTTGTTTTGGCAAGCAGTTGTGTGACTGCAGTGAAGAGAGGATAGTAGAAGTGATCCTGGCTCCAGTGGGAAAAACCCAGTAGTAATATTACCATCTTGGAAGTTGTGTTTTGGCAGAACATTGGAAAGCATTTGAAGACAAATGAATTTAGTGCAACAAAGGAAGAAACAGTGTATATAGAAAAAAGGTTAGCTTGCCAATCCATATTTGAAATTATTTTAAAATAAAACAGTGTTTAGTATAGTTAATTTTAGTTTGTCTGAGTTGATCTGAATGTCAGTAACCCATACCTGAGATAGAATAATCGTAAATTTCAGTTAATTATATTAATATTCTTATAATTTTGTTTTTTATTTAACAACCTTTTATTAATTTTGGAAGTATCCCAACGGTATAAAGTGATCTTCCGAGGTTATATTATTATTATTTGTAAAATATAAGAGAGATGTTACAATATACAGAAAGAAAAAGGCATGGAAGGCTGTTTTAGACCTGATGAACCGTATGCCACAGAACTGGAAAGAGTATGTTAAGTGGAGGAATGATATTAAGCGTGTTATTCGAGAGGCCAAGAAAAAAATCATGGGAAGAATTTGAAAAAAGCCTGGACAGTGTTTATAAGGAAAATATAAACAAGTTCTGGAAAAAAGTAAAAAGCACTGAAGGGAGAAACATCCAAAGAGATCAGAAACATAAAAGGTGAAATGGACATATGATCACAGGCACAAACAAGATCTTGGATAGATGGAGACCGTATTATTCTTCACAGCACTCTGATTTCAGACAACCTCCAGAACACGAGGAAGAGACCAATCAAGTGGCTGAATATGATACTACCTGGGAGGATGATATAGAAAGAGCTCTGGAAAAACTGAAGTTAGGCAAAGCAGGAGGCAGAGATGACATTTTCCCAGAGTTTATTAAATAAGGAGGGAATGGAATGATAAAATGACTGCAAGCACTTTTGCAGAAGATATGGGATGATAAGGTTATTCCGAAGGACTGGGAATACAACATCATAGTGCCAATTCATAAGAAACATAGCAAAACTGGATGTGACAACTACAGGCCTATATGAAGGCATGCCAAAATGTACACCAATATATTAGAAAACAGGTTAAGGCCACTGATAGAACCAGAATTAGAAGATCAGGCTGGTTTCCGATCAGGGAGGCAAACTCAAGATCACATATTTTCTCTAAGAAATATTGCAGAAAAGGCACGGAATAGAAATCGAAGTATATATATCACTTTCTTAGACTTGAAAGCAGCCATCGACTCAGTACTTCGATGTGAAATATGGAGAGCACTTAGAAGAAAGGGTATTCCCGAGGACTTTCACTCAACAATAAAATCAATATACGAAAGCCTTAAAGGAATAGTGCATGTATGTGGCCGAGAGACCAAGCCATTTCCAATGGAGCGAGGTGTGAAACAAGGAGATAGCTTGAGCCCATTAATGTTTATCACCTTTATGGACTAAATCCACAAAATGTGGAGAACTGCTCAAACTGTAGTAGGCATGTGGAAAATGAGAATAGTTCATGTGCAGGCGATATCGGGCTGGAGACCAACTTTCAAGAAAAACTGCAACAGGCCATTATAGAATGATAGGGAGAACTCGCTTGTAAAGGAATGAGTATCAACAGCCGCAAGAGTAAGGTATGACTAGTAAGAGATGAGAGGGATGTGGGAAATATAAGAATGACATGCAATGGAGAAGAGCTGAAGAATGTAGACTACTACACATACCTTGGAACAATTTTAACAAATCTGGGAAAATAAATCAAGAAGTTTCCAACAGGATAAAGAAAACAAACAGTATATATTACCAGATTTGTAACACAATTGTGGGAAATAGAGAGGTAGGAAGGAATGGCAAACTATACATCTATAAAGCAGTATATCTACCTACATTATTATATGGCAGCAAAAGCTGGGTCAGCCAAGACAAGCACTTAAGCAGGATTACAGCTGCTAAAATGAAATTTTTATGAGGAATTTTGGGAAAAACCAGGAGAGACAGACTGAGGAATAAAAGAATAAGAGAGGAACTTCTGATACCCTTACTGAAAGCAACTATGGAATGCCAGTAACTTCGATGGTATGGGCACATGTATAGAATGGAAGAAAACAGAGTATCAAGGAAATGCATGGAAGCGAGGCAAACTGGCAGGCTCCTCCATGCTGAAAGGAACACAAGGAGGAAGAAGAATAAGAGAAGTATTATACTTCTTGTTATTATTAACAGTAAAATTTTCAAATCTTTCCTCCCTTTGTTTGCTCATACTATTGTTTTAATTTCTTATTTCTGTTTTAAATGTCTCGACAATTTTTTCCGATTTTTAAAATGGTTTTATACTTTCCGATTTGAAATTTTTGGAAGTATTCTTAATTTGTTTTTCATTTCATTTGTACTTTCATCTATTACATTTTTTAATTCATTTAAGCCGGCTAATAATTGATTTAAGATGGATTGAATTCTGAATACTTTCTCGTTAGCAATCATTTGTTTGAATTGATTTGTCTGCTACTTGGGCCTGCGCAATGTTTTTGTAATCTTTCACTACTGAATTTTCGGTACTTATTTAACAGCGGGTAGCGTCAAAACCTCCCTTCTTATCTAATCTCATTTCACATAACCTCCCTTATCTCATCTAACCTAAGTTATTCCCTTGTTTATTTTTTGTTTCTTGTGTTAGCTGTGAGTTAGTGTTATTTAATTATGGATGTTATCACATTGTGGGAATTGCCATCTTCAGAAGAAGAGGCTATAAAATATTTTCAAGACCCCGGGATATTTGCTGAGATCAAATAATGCCCATGACATATTATACAGGTTGAATAAAAAATTGGAGGGCCTGGCAAAGTCGTTAAGTAGACCAGTCTTTTTTCGAAAAGAAAAAATCATGTAGGGAGAGTCCTGACTGAGCAATGGATGTTTATATATTATATATAAACACCCATATGTTGCATATATTATATATACATATTTATAATGTTTTGGTCTATTTTAATATATATGTTGTAAAATAAAAGTATTGTTTTATTATTACATTTGTTTTTGTTCACAATTTCAATAATATCAATACAATACAATAAATATGAATACGAAGATATAATAATATGAATATAACACAATAAATACAAATAGGAAGAGCTTATAAACATTTAAGAGTTAAGGTTATAAACATTGGCAGATAGCAGTCCCATGCTACCCACTACTAAATAAGTACCGAATTTTCCCCATCCAAACTAACTTTTGACCCCTCTGGAATTCCCAAAATTTCTTTTACCTCACTATTAAATGTCATTATGTTTATTATAACAAAAGTAAAGTGAACAAATAAAAAATAAAGAGGATTGTGTCTAGTTGTCCTGGCTAAATAGGTCTATTTACAAGGCCATGCTAGTTGAGCGCCACCTTGTAAGGTTACGTTTCCTTTGAAAAGTAAACAAACAGTTTCAGAACCAAATTATATTTATTTTACACAATTAAATTAAATTATCTCTCAGGATGAGTTGAGTCCATAAACACATATTCCTCAATTATATAATCTAAAAGCATACATTAAATTTATACACAACTTTTATGGATTTCTATTGTTTTGTCAGAATCTACTCTTGGCGCTTTCTAATTGTTTAACTATTTAATTTGCACTCACCCTGGTCCGCAGTGAATCTTCCTCTGCAATGATGTTACAGGCTTTACTGAATTAAACTTCTACAATGTATTCTTTAACCTTCGATTTTCCTGGGCACTCACTACTTGTTGGTCACCAGTGACCCTCAATCCTATTACTTCTCCGCCTGATTACCTTCTCCTTCAACACATGGCCCTTGCTTCCCCCTCCATCTACTATTTACTCCGTTTCTTTGTCCATTTTTGACAGTGGTTCCTGACGTCACTGCTTTCGCTCCACTATTTAAAACCACTATGTAATATTTACATTACAATATTTTTTTTTTCGTTTCAGAACACAATCTTTGGAAAAAGACATTTTTGAAAAGTAATCTCTCGACGAAAACAGTAAATACAAAAATTAAAAAGTTACACATTTGCAAACTGTATTTGACCCTTCATGATAACAAAAAAATCAAGAACATAAACTAAAATTCAGTACAGTTTGAATCTACGTATTGTACTTAGATGGTATGTTTTCACTGGTAAAAGGATGGAAGCAAAATACATAGAAAAAAAAATAGTTTTATTATTGGTTTGGTATTAACAAAACCAACATTTTTTGTCAGTCAGGACAAAACTAATTTAACGTGGGATATAAGAATATGAGCGACTTCACAAATTACATGGAAAGAAGGCCTATGCATACTTAAAATTGTTTGTTGACTTCTTACCCTTCAACAAGAGCTAGTTCAAAAAGTTAACCCCCTACTACTTATTAAGTTTAGAAGAAAACTATAAAGAGCTGGTTGAACTACAAA